TGGAGCATTAAAATAATTTTAAAAAATCAAAAAACCCAATGCCTGAAACCGCCTTGTTAGATAAAAATGAACCAAGTGCTCAAAGTAAACAAAGAGATTTTAACGATGCGGAAAACTCACTTTTTCAAAGTTCACAATCTCCAATCAGAAACCGAATTGGACCGAATTAATCAGGTGCCGAAATTAGAGGGAAATATATGGACAACTTACTACCTCTGGAATAAAAAGCAATGTTGCAAACATACGATTGTGAAGTCTCTTTTAATGGCTGTTTAAACACACTCACATTATATCGGCCGAATGAACGTGGCCGCCTCGGATGCGGAGGGGAACGAAGAACTGTGGGGTTTAATTTTCTCAGTGGGAAGATACAAAAAATGTCACAAATGCAACGAACCGCATTATCTCCTATCCATTTACTTCACAAATACCTTTGGTTTGATGAACCTAGAAGCATTGCTTATTGCTTTTAGAAAGGGGGGGGATGCCAAAATGATGTCGTCAATTCTGACCGTTTTTTTCACTGTGGTATGGGGGCTAATGTTTGAACTTTTGGAACGATGTCTGCGAACTTCAACATTAGCATATGGGTGAAACAAATTGCGCATGATGCCGACATTATCTGGCTTGTATATAAATGCATTTCAGAAAACAAGGTAACTATTCACCATTTTGTGGGTGGCCACCTGTTCAAATCAAAACGCTCAGTGGCCGAAAGGATCCCACTTGAGTCGAGGGCCCGTATGTTGCAGTTTGCTGATGGCTGTGGCTTGTTGGTACATTTTGAGCTGGATTGCAATGTCCAACAGTAAGGTTCGCGTCAGCAACGTCCCATTTTTACTTAAATATAAAAATTCCTGGAACGATTGTCTCTTATCTCTCCGCTTGTGAGGGACACCCAATTGGAAAAGCACTGTACAGTTGTTTCATCCTTATTTTAAATCACCAACAGTGCGGATCTCACAAAACTTCCGAAACCCGAACTCGCAATCTTTCGACTAGGGTTCAGACTACTACACAGGTAGTTTGCAGTTGACACTGGGTTACGAGTACGTTTGCGTGGTGTTGCGTTCAGCTGCCCTTGAGTAGTACGCGCGGAATGATGTGTTTCGTCACCTTTCCTGAAAGGGGGCGGTTAGGTCTGCCGATGCGTGTGAACTGACAGACAAAATGAGGAAAAGGTTGGTAGGAAACCTTTTGGAGGTGAATAGGCGTGGTTGTCTGAACTAAGCATGTTTGCGCCTCATGGAGCTATCCTCAAGCCTTGTCTGAGATCTTCCGCAATTTAACCTCATTTGACTTTCTGGATTTTGTATTTACACTGCCACAGTCGCGTAAGTCGAGTTGTCTGGTAGACATAACGAGTAGACTCGCCCTCTGTCAGTCTTCATGGGAAGCAGACAGTTTCTAGGTGAACGGAGTCTAGACGATTAAAATGCTTTTTCAGTGATAAGCAGAATACGTACTTATGATGATGACAAAGATTTCCGGAAAAATGTCGGTCAGCGTCGCATTTACTGGAGGCCTCACAATTACGCCGTCAGTCTTCCTGTGTGCCTACTTCTCAGAGATATTTAGCCACGATATTGAAAGGATAGAATTTCTGTGAAGAAAATTGCAAGACAAATTTAATTAACACTTATGAAAGGACGCAGCAGCAGTAGAGAAGAACACGAGAGATCTGATTGAAATAGCTCTTAGAATATCCACTGGCTAAACGAAGTCTTCCCGGGGAAAATCACGGGAGACTGACTCAAATGGGTTAGGAAATCTAAACTAAAATGCAAGTTTGTGGTATTCAGAAATGTGCATGCTCAGGATAGGCTTTAACAGAATGTAGGTCTCGTGGACTTAGCGAGTACCTCTTAATTCAGTTTTTCGATTATAATGAGCTTCAGTTGATTTCAGTCACTGTGAAATACATGATTATGCAGGAGTAGTTTTCTCACTTTTTGCTTTTCCATAAAACCAGTGTATACCAGACTTTGGTACAATTTCTAGTGTCATTCACGAGTGGGTCCATATTCGCATGACATTTCGCTTTATTCATCACAGTGACCACTAAACCTTTGCTAGGTTGAAGAAAAAATATCTGATCTGTCCATCCTCGCTGGTCCGTTTCTCACACTATATTTGCAAGTGGACCAATAATCGTCCTGCGTCTTTAACCCATCGACAGTGTGTTTGCCCTTATAGCGTAGAGTTCGTAGCTTTGATTCTCACATTTTGGCTCTGCTTACAGGTATAACGTAGAAGTGGATTTACATTTCATTGGAGCACCGTAAAATGAACATTTGTTAATAAATTCTAATGATGGACTTGTGAAGATACTGTATGACTGAGGTTTCCGTGATCATAGCATCGGTCAATCATTGGTCGCTGAATGACCAGTTCAGGTGGGAACACTTAAGGCGGGTGTGCAAAGCTGAGTTCTCCGTCCTCTTGTATTCTTAAATTGTTCTGAATTTGACCGTATAGATGACAAGAAAACAATCAATGATCACTCGGAAGCATATGAACTAATCCCCCGCTAGCAGCGCAACACTACCCAACGCACAACCACCAACCTACCGCTACGCACCACTACGCTCCCCAATAACGCACTGATGATGTCACCTCGATTGGTGATGAAACGTTTGCAATCAAATTGCCCAGCTCAGCGAACAAGCCAACAACCACATTTGTGCATCTTTTGATAGAGAAACCCCACATTATTACTTGTAGCGTATTCACAAAATGGTTGGTAAAAATTAACCCAAACAACCTCGGGTGAAGAAAAATACCAGATAGTCTGAATTCAGAATGATCATAGTTCTCCAATTTTTGGCCTTCTCAAGCTTGTCACACGTGCATTTTTGCTTTCACTGATGTGGCATTATGAAGACGCAGTGCATCTAGAGCACCGTAGATCTCAGAAAACTTACAGCTCACTCTGTTCACGAGTGCTGACTTGTAATGGTAGACTGTTTGATTCCTTTGCGTTTCCTTTGAGCACTGAAACGGTAATGACGTTTTGTTATGTAGAAAAAGCTGAAATTCACCACTATTAATTAAGCATTAGTGATAAGGCTGCGAATGCATTTAATGAAAACGAGAAAAAAGCCATTGGGTCTAACTAAAATTACACATTTTAGGATTAAATTGTTCATTTTTTGTCAAAATCTATGCAAAATACGGAGGGTGAATGGGAAGTTATTGCGTTTTACAGTGTTTACATTTTATGACACAAGTGTACAAAATGAACTATCCTTACAAACATGTTTTTTCTCAATACGTTGTTAAAGACGTAAAACATTTTGGTTGCACTGATTTGTACTGGAACAGGGCTCCTGCTGCAATCACCGGATGAGCAGAGCGAGGTAAACACACCGCCGATCAGCTGCTCGTGGCCGAAAGGTTGGGTGTTCGAACCACTAGTCGGAAGGTCACGGTTTCGAAACTCTGGAGCTTCGTGAGATGAGCACTGTTGATGATTTCCAATGAGGATGAGAGAGCTGTACGGTGCTTCAAGACTTTTCAGCACACACACACACATATATATATATATATATAAATGTCATCTTCGGAAAAAACGTCTTGGACGGAAAAAGATGCGATCTGCCTTGATTTGTTAAAATCTTGATGTGGCCAAACCTAATAGACACATTTGAACAAAGTCGCTTTAGAAAAAGGGTGGACGGATCCAACCAGATTTTGTCTAGTAAAAACCAGGTAAATTCCAACTTGATCGCTGCGTAATCCTCAAATCTGACGCAAAGACTGTCGGTTATTCAGACAGAACAATCTGACCATTTATTATTTCGTTTATGAAGTGACTAGAGAATATCGCGGGCTACCAAGCATATTGTCTCCGGTATTTGCTGGCTTGGCCGTAATCACGAGGCCTTTTTCCTTGGATATCTGATCTTTTTGTAACAAACCTTTCCACGTTATTTTACGAGAGAATATCTGTAGCTACACACAACAGAGGTTACGTGATAATACAGTCATCTAACGTCTAAGCCGTTCTACACGTAAAGTATGCTCTGTGAAAATGTGGCACAGCATTGGTACACTGACTAACATGAATGTGCTGATTTCTAGGAAAAAAATGGGGTTGTAAAGTTGTTTCAACTATTATATGTTAGTTTCGCTCAAGCTCAATGACTAATATGGTTCTTGAACCATCTCACGGTTTTCATGTGGCTACTCAATAATGATGGGGAAGTAACATTAGCTGATTGTCATGCGCACTCTTGAAACTTTCGGAAAAAGTGTAAAAGGCCACTCATAAGGTTTCTGAAAATTCTTCAACAGCCCACGACCGGTTTCGTCCATTTTGGGGTTCATCAGGTAGGCACAGTCCCCGAGGTTCCACCAACCTCCTGTCCTAATTGTGTTACGACTATACATGTATCGCGATATCTCGAATATCGTAGCAACTGGATTATGAGGCGGCCTGGTGCGGCACAATCAGTTGCTCAGAAACATGGTAAACGATAGATTCAGCTGGGTTCCAGATAAGTCTCTCCCAAAATCAAACTAATTTGCAAATAAGGGTATTTCGATTTAACAGGCTTACTTATGAGAATTGTGTCTGGCAATAAAAAGGACGTATATATCCGCTACCCATTTATGAAAATGCTTTTACAACAAGAAGGGTGACTCATTTGAAGAGTTTAGCGTCATCAGCCACCTGGGAATAGGAGACTCAGTGTGAACCTTTCATCACTTCCTTACTATGGGAGTGAAGGAACCTAGTTAGAACATGGTGGGACCACCAGACGGCAGTGAATAGACCATGATAAGCCTCAAGGCAGCAGAGGAAAGCAAGTCCCAGCGAAGTGGAGACGTACACCAAAATAATGCTATTGTTTTCATCCTACTCACTGTGAACGAAGTTTGGAAGCAGAGGTTTGGGCTCGAGGAAATTCCAAAATGTCAGGGAATGTTAACAACCCAAGACAGAACTGTCTTCATTAAAGGGATTTCGACAAGAGCGTTTCCGCGAAGAGCGTTGTCTAAGGTTCGATTGTAGAGGAATGTTCTTCAAAGACCGGCTTTTTCCATTTGCATTGCAGAAACAGAAACTTTGTTGATTCCCACATAAAGTTTCGGACACTTTTTATGGTAGCGACCATGACAAGGGGTAGAGTACAAGTACCAATCATAATGAGTACCAGGCCGAGATCATGCAGAAGCGATCCAGGAATGTAGTTGGAGAGATTAAGAGTTGCGAGTAGATAGACAAACTCATCAACTGAATGCGAGCAAAGTAGTGTGATAGCCATAAACACCGTGGTATAGGTAAACTTTCGTAGACTGCGACTTACACATTCTGTCTCAACCACCGGGGCACCAATTCGGGTAGGACGTGCATAGTATAAAATAACGGCATGCGAAACAGGTATGAATGTGACGGGCAATAGGTAATTCATAAGAAACCAGATGATTTCACTGGCCTGGTTGAATTCCATTATCGAGCCATTTTTGGGAAGGTCAAATAGGCACTCTCCATCCACATATTTCCGAAGGAAAAAGTTTGGAATGAACAGGAAAACTGTTGAGATGCTCAAGTATAAACAAACACCGATTTTTAAGGAAAATTTGTGAAGCTTGTATTTCACTGGGCATAGTACAGCAAGCAGACGATCGAGTGATATGCACACATTGTTTTGCACGCCCAGAATATAGCCAGGCCAGAAGAGGTTAACGTCTGCCCAAATATAGCACAGGATTTCATCGGCGATGGGAGATCCTGTCTTGATTTGGCTGCCAACCATCTGATATAGGAGCATAATAAAACAGGAATAGCCATCGAATATACACTGACTTCGCAGTAGAATCCTTGTAAACTCTGAACCGATTCTCACAAACCACAAGGCAGATAGGGTTGCAAGGTTGGTAACGGTCCCTATACCCCCAAGTATCCCAAGTGCTATTCGGAAATCTTGAACTCCAGTTGACAACATTTCGGTCCAAAGCACCGTCTTTTCATGCCTACCTTAAATAAAATAATGAGAATTTCCGCCTCAAGTCAGCAGTAGACATTAGCTTCTACTGATTGGTTGGTAAAGGAAGGTAATTGTATTTCGTTCATTGGCTTCGTGATTCCGAAAAAATGTCGGATATTTTTATGGGCCATAATCGCTATTAGTAGATGTGTTTTTGGATGGACAACGCCTGTCATGAACAATTATCTACCAGTCTAGTGACATCAAAGAGCGCACATAAAAAATGTCTCATTTTAAAGCACTATTCTCCTTTGTACATATGAGCAGCACGGAAATAAGGTGTGAAAGGTTGGATGTATCCATTTCGTGCGGTTTCTTTAGTTGCCACGCATTTAACAAACACAAATTGGGTCAAGCATACTGCGAATAAGTCAGCCCATGGATTCAAATCAACCAGAGTGAATGTAACGTGACCGTCAAACAAGTTCGGGGATGAAGAAATGGTGTGAAGCAAGTAATCAATAAATCATCAACAAACTCCAGTGTCAACAATCAATTAAATCGAAATAGAACAAAAAATATCGGACCAACGTCAACTGAATAAACGGCTTGAAGAGCTAGAAGCTGTCCAGAAATCGATAATAGCCGCATTCGCTCAGTTGTCTGCCTGGTAACCTGAAACTCAACAGTAACAGGATTTTCCGCTCGTTCTAAGTAAAATTCATCCTAGCTGCTGGTGAAGCGTTGGACGACATGAGGATTCAAGAACGACTATAACTGTTCCACATTCCCGGATGAGTTAGGCTGCATAATTTGTTCACTTTTGGCCAGTCAACAAATAGGCTATAATTTTATGGACACTGGGCTTCAGTTTCCTTTGGAATTGCATCTATTTTTAAAGTGGTATTCTCAGATAGACTCGAAGTTTGGGTGAAATTAATTGAAAACGTCCGAGTGGTATTCTATGTCGATTTCTGTGAAAAAATGTGAGTGAAATGTACACAGTTTTGTGTCTGACATACAGACATTGTGAGTGGCGGGGTTATTGGGCGTCTTTTATCAAGGAAATAGTAGAAAACGATTCCCGCCCGACCTATGTTTCCTTCCTGTGGCTTTTTGTGCTTCTTTTTGGAGCTCTGAAGTGTATTAGTAGCCGGTAACTTGGAGAACTTGGGCAAAATACAGAAATGTGGTTGTCAAATGGAGGTAAATGGATAGTATTCTGATAATGTCCACTCTTATTACGGTACCAAATAATCCCGAATTCCTAATGATTAATAGCCCCATTTTTATCCCAAGGTTGATCAGGGGTTCAACATCAAAGAACCAAATTGTAGATAAAGTTGTGCTTTTATCGAATAACTTGTGACTTCAAGCTGCACTTTCACGTAAAGAAAACACAAAGCATATTCCGAAGTAGAATGCTATTTCACGATTTCACACTGAAATCTCCACTGGGTGCTTCTCAACACAACGCTTTCTTGCAATAAGCAGTGTTGTTCGTTAAGCTGCTCTTTATTCCCGGGATCTGAGAACTGATATTATTTATAATGTATTTCCTCACCCCCTCGTTTTTTTTGACAAGCTAAAATCAAGAAAATATTTTACCTTTTTTAGTCTCATGAGGCAGGCAAAGCGAGTGAGTTTATGTCCACCTAATGTTCCGTCTGAACCAGCGGCATGTTTAGTTCAACTATTTTCTGCCATTTTATATTGCTCTGTTGGTTGCTCGGTCCCTGCAGTATCACCGATGAAGTCCCGCAATTAATTACTGCATCTTTTTACTCTGGGACCTAAGCTTTGTTTCCGTGGACTTCATGATTGGGATTCGTTAGTGACGGATGGTGTGACTGGAGCATGTCAAAAGCAACTGAGTACAAGAGCAGTGGACTTAGCCTGCCTTACAGTAATGGGTGCGACTGTCGTTAGGAATGGAAAATATCTTGGGTACTGGATATCCAATATCAAAGAACTTTTTTTATCTCTGATAAACTCAAGTTTAAGTAGAAGAGTAGTTATTAGCTTGTTTACCCCTAAATGGACAGATATATATGCACCCAAAATTTTTCGGCTAAGACGTAAAAGCTTCAGCATCTCCCTGCTGTTTCAGAATGACATACTGTTTGATTAATAGTCCAAAGGTGATTTGAATGAAGGGTTTGACTCCCTGATCACGAAGATTCTCTATTTTGCTTCCTTCGAGGACGGTGGAACTTATAATTAAACTACCGTCTGATCCCTCATCTCACTGGAGATTAGAAACTCAAGGGTAACTCCCACACAGCTCGTTCCTTGGAAACATCAAACTACATGAAATTTGTTTACTTCTTCAGTAGACGACGTTTTCTGCAATAAAGTAAAAGTACACCCAGGGTTAGAATACACAGAAGAACCAGTATACCCGAGAGTGATATGGTGGCTGTTCCATAGTCAACAACATAGGGAGGTGTAGGCATGGGAGGAGTAAAACGCGGAAGCCAGGTTAGTTGGATTGGGTACAACCTTTTCCAATAGGCATAATGGTATGCCTTGTAATTTTGACGTAGATCAAATCCTGCTCCAAGTCCCAGCTGCTCCAGTTGGGGTTGATGACTTCGTGATTGGATATAACCGCTGGTCAGGTTTAACCACAGATAGGTACGATTGTCCCGTCGATATGTATCCCACGTCAGGTTACGCACCGGCATAGGAGTGGCATTGCCACTTTTTACAAAGTTCGATATAAAATACAACATATAGTCTGTGATGTTTCGGTCCAAAGAGATGTACTGAAAATCTGGAGGCTCAAGGTTCAAATTTTCTCGCCACTCCTGCTGGAACACATCCGGTTGTTGCAAGCGAGTTAGACGTGGGATTCCGAAAATGTATTGCAGTTGCGATGACCCATAGGCACCAAGTAACCGTGCCCAAGGATCCGCCGGGGACCGATAGGCAAATACGTACATCTGTGTCAAGTTTTGTCTCGGAAAATTTGAAGGAGTACCATTTGAAAGGTATCGCAGAGTCTGAATGAGACCACTCCCAAGGAGTCTATCAGTCCAGGCCTGGAGGTACATAGACCATCGCTTGTAGGAATCTGAGCTGTTCGACCAGTCCGTGTACTCGAACAAAAGTGTTTTCGTCATGGCAATTGGATCCTTTAAAATAAACAGCGGAGAAATTAGGATGGCTTGCAACGTAACTACAGACGTAGTCAAAGCAAGCAGATGAAGAGCATACATCAGTGAAGTTCTCTAAGCAAAAGATTTACTTCGTCTTTTGTGTAAGATTTTGCAGGAGGCCGCCCAGTAAAGTCGTATGTTAACTAAGGGAACTTCTATAACCATTCACAACATTGAATTCGATCCTGCTTGTTCAATTAAATCTTTACCTATACCTTTGCTTATCTCAGTCTATCCTGAAGGCTATTTGCTAGACTATGCCCATAATTTAGTTCAAACTAATTCCTGATAAAAATGAACCTGTTTTGGTGATTGTTCAGGCCAATTATGCTCGGTTACTTGTCGCACGTATGGAATCGTATATATATTCAGGGCTGTCGCCGCGTAGATAATCCTGACCGCATGTCGCATGTTCCTCTATTAACTCTACATCTAATACCTCCTCACCGAGTCTAAAACAGTGGCGCGTGACATGAGTGCGAGGTATTTATGTAGTGTTTTGTCTTGCTTACTCGTCTGCTGAAGTCTTGTAGCTTCCTTTGTAGCCTTGCATATTTGTATAATCAGTCTTACAGTGATTCCAGTGCGTATCGAATAAAAAAACGTATGCGGGTACCGACCTTTAATTTTATATATATATATATATATATATATATACCGAGGCGGTTTCCCAACTAGTTGCTGGGAAAACAAGTACCATATACCGGTATCCACAAGTTTTGGTTCTCACATGCTGCAAACACATACTTTGGAAGACGCATTTACCACAACAGCATTCGTTGTTTGTCTGCTCTACACACCACAACACGACGTGAATTCTGTTAACAGAAGTGTTAGGGAGAAGAAATAATCATAAATTCAGTGAACCATAGGACGACATGATAATTATGGGGTTCCTCCCGCTCTTGCGTACAGAGAACAGGCTAGCTCATCTCCGTTTTGTAACTTTAAGGCTAGTCCTCTTAGCAATTTTATTCAAGCCGAATGTGAAAGAAATTTACTCTAGATAATTTCGCGACCGGATATGCTTCGTTATTTGATCGAAACAACGATCACAAAGCGAATGAATTATCAAACATACTGCTTGTTGAATCTACTAGAACGTTGGAGCACGTAGATGCATGTATAAATACAAAACCATATAGTGGCCTATACTAACCTCTTCCTAGTCTGAACTGGAAGTTTTAAAGAAGATTAAAGGAACAGCTACCCGGTTTAGTCTGTGGAAGTGAAAATTGTATGCTTCCTCTAAATCCCTATCAATATAAATCCAGCAAAATTGCCTGTCGAATACAATCCATACGAAAATCTCGTATTTAATACGTACTATCTTATGTTTCCGGGAGACCGCTTGCCGGTCAGTACGTGTCGATCGACACAATGCATACAGATATTGAGTTTCGACCTGATTCATAAGATTGGTAAAACTCACAGCTCATCGGCAAACTAGTGTAGAAACAATGTCCAACACACCGGGTGTTCAAAAGTAATCAGGCGTTTCCTGTCTGTTGCAAAACCGCCCAAGCAGTGGTGTCGGGACTGTGTGAGGGGTCTTTGGGAGAAGTTTCAACAAAAGCCGCGATTAGACGCACCATGAGAGCCACATACCTGGGCGCAGTCGAAAAAGTAATTTATTCCATGGGGAAGAGTTAGGAGGTGTCATACAACTCATCCTCCCCAATCACAAATTAACTGATATGCGTATCTTCCCAATTTTTAAGGAATTTCATAAACACAGAAATGGAGTAGTGGGGTTGAGAGTTCAATGTTAGGACTTAAATTAACAAAAGTTTTTGATTATTTATTGGCGATTCTGTCACTCCCTTGGTTGGGCAGTCCGTGTCAATTTAGCTGCCTCGGGTATTTTCCGGTACACTGCTAAATTTCAAACCAAGGTAAGTTGATAATTGCCGGACTATCTAACAGAGAGAAAGTGTTGTATAAAATACAATGCAATATCAACTGCCCATTAGGTGGACTTCTGATGAACCTAACCTGAGTTTGTGGTTAGTCTATTTTTGTGGATGACCACTCAAGGCTTATTTAAACCTACATTTATTAGGAACCCTATGGAAGTATCATCCATTGAGTTTAAGTGTTGTTTCGGTCCTTTATTGAAAAAAATGTGATTTCCACGTTTACATTGCTTGCTGCGAGCGGAAACAGTATTTTCGTATATTTAGGGTCTTTTTCCTGGATACGAATTACGTATGAACTAAAACATCACAAAACTTAAATCTTGTGGAAAAGCGAAGCCCATGGTCACTGACGAAGTACAATTAAACAAACAGAGAGGCCAAAAAACACAAAGTAGTTACTTTTACCAAGTGGATGAATGTCAACAGTTTACTTGTTCGGTTCTTCACCGTTCAAAGAGCACAAAAAGGTCACTGATTCTCTTTGTATCCAAAGCAATCATAGGTATATTCTGTAGCCGTACGACGCAACAGAGTGATTTCAACATTAGTTTCAAGGTTAAACGTTTGGGCATCTGTTAGGAAAATTATAGCGGAACTCCTGATCACTCACTCATACAAGTTAAATACCGTAGTTATTTAATTCTCTGCCACCATTTCAGGGTTGGCTATATCGGCAATGAACTCTATACGTACCTTTGCAAAATCATGACGAACCATTTGGGTAAACCCTCCAGAAATGGCGTCTTCCGAAAAGCCCGCGAAGTCTGCCTTAGGAATCGGAATCATATTTGGGCGCTGTTTGAAGACGTGTTGAAGTTCCTCGTTTATCTTTGAATCTTGAAGGCGAAATAAGGATGCCAGCGCGTGAACAGCCGAATCATCGGCCGTCAAACCACCAATGACCTATAGTTGGATAAGAATTGAGAAAAAAGTTAGATTTTAGGGTAGATATCATAACGCGTGAGGTCATTACCTAATTGATGAGTTTCAGACAGTTCACTGAACAAAAAATACTCACAGGGAAAGTGCCTATCCATTTTGACCACGAGTCATCCTTCTTGAGGAGAGGGTATTTCAGTTGACCGTACAAGGGTGTATAGATACGCACAACTCCATACGGTATTGTACTCAGGACTGAAGCTGCTGGATTATCAATCCAATCTGTTTTTATGTGGATCCTGCTGGATTATTAATTCAGTCTGTTTTTATGAGGATCCTCCTGGAAAAAACATTCGTGAATAACAAATTCCATGGTATTACAACTATATATATGGCATTGTGCCAAACCTAGTCATATTTCCCCAAGACTGGATGCTAGGGTATCTCGCACTTACGGTCACACATCTCCTTTGTGGCCCAGCCTGCATTTTTATTTGATCGTAAATATTTTGGTAAACATAGAGCAAGTTCATGATTTCGGCGTCCCTTCCATTTTTTCTAAGAGGCCATTGAAAAAATCAACCGCAGACACCGTTCAAAGTGAAACGAAGCACTTGTCCGTCCTTGGTCGCTTACACAGGATCATTGAAAGCCGCTGTTGAAACTCAATAGTCAAAAGCCTCTTAAGACTTTGGTGGATAGCTGTGACCTGTGACACATTCATTCTGCTGATTTGCCTTGACCACAGACGGTCACCCGCTCACCCAACCATTGAATATCAGACGGTATATGCGGACACTTAAACACTGTGACCCTTGTCCAGGGCAAGTTTCGTGTTTGTGGTATATGGTGCCTGCCAGTTTGATTGATTTATATGTGAATATTGGTGATGAACAACCTTAGCGTGCTTCGGCTCATGAGCCTTCTTTTTGTTTTCCCTCCACATATATTGTAGTGAGCCGTGACCGTTGGAGAATCACTGTCCGTTAGTGCATTTATGGCATGCATATTGCAGTCTGCGTTGGGAGTTTCGAAAAGGCTATCAACCATACACAAAGTGTCGGAGGACTTCAGTGTTGTTTTAGCTAAATGTGGACATTCTTGCGGAAGAAGCCTACAGGCAAATCGCTGCACTTATTCCAAAACAGTCGATTATCTACTGAGCGCGTAGTGTTTTCCAACCAGCTACAGGAAGTTGAACCATGTGATGGCTGGAACGGAAGGAGAAGTGGGCAGGTGGGTATGCACCATGGCTAAAAGACTGTTTACCGCTGCTGCAACATCCATCTTCTCATTTAACCATCTGGTTACAGTTTCTATGAACTATAAAACAAGCAAAGCTAAGTTCGCTTGTAATCCTGTTTCCCTGAACTATGACACATATACACGGAAAGTGGAGCGTGACCGACAATAAGATGTCAACCCACACATGCTTAGGGACTTTTATCTAAGTATGAACTCTCGTAGATACCGTTTTGAATTTCCTCGCCCAACAATATTGACACTCGTCTCTTATACCCAAACGTTTTTGTTCGGTTCGCCAGGGTGTCGAATTGCAGAAGGAACAATGGGGTTATATTACGGTCTAGCCCGTGGTTGAGCCATTGTTGAGAAGTTCATGAAATAGAAATGTTTGAATCTTCAGAAAGAAGGCCTACTCAAAGATTGTACATTGCTGAGTAAATTTCATCATTTTTTAATTTCCCCTTTTTCTGAATGTATTTATTGAGCAATTTGTAGGTGGTCCAAATGGCGCAATAAGTAGGTATGTTTACTCCCATCTTTCACATGCTCCAAGTAAGTTCGATAATGAATAATTATGATCAGTATCGAAATTGTTTTGCCACTTTGTTTTGCAATCAAAGTTTTTGGCAAATCGCTATGATGTGGTATACAATACTCCTAAAAAGCGTAAATAAAATCCAGTTTATAAGAAATGTTATTTGCTGTTAGCTAATCGAATTCGCCTGAATCCAATGCTCAACAGATGGGGAAATGTCCAACTGGAATAATGGATCTAACCAAGTAGGACACCTTCTCCCATTGACTTAATAATCTGAAATGCTAATTCCAGAAATTCGAACTTTTTATATCCTTTGTGGGAAGAGCATTTCAGGCACCCACACTTGCGAATGGAGAACAATTTAATGAAGTTTCAATCAATATCGGTCCGGTGTTGTACTAATCGTTGTTGCATAGACTGGAATCCACCCTCTTACTAATTTAATTGTATTCCATCCCAAACCAGACAGTTACCAAACCCTAAATTGTAGCTATACTCACCGGGATTGCAGCAAACTTTCCTAGCTTCCATAATGTCGAAGGTTCATTTTGAATAAAATCTCCATCCACTGTCGGACTCCAGGGTCTAGTCAGCCAGTTTGGACGATGAATGCGCGTCTCGGCAGCAGCAGTGGCTATTTCCACGTCCGAGCGGCTTCGTAGGCATGCCATCATGTTGTCCGCTTTTGATAAGTCGCATCCAACCTTTGAACAGGTAAAGCGGGAGGAAAAAATGATTGCAGAGGAGAATAAGGCTAATTTATTTGGGATTTCTCTTTATCCGAACAGGTCGAATTGATGACCATGACACTAGTGCGTAGAGGTTACGAGAATAGGATTGTCGCTTTGGCGCGACGCAATCTGATTATTGGCGTACTTAACAAATTCCGAGCATTATTAAGTGCGTAGCTTATGAAATATGGTGCATGAGACAAAGGCTTATTTATAATCCTTTTTAATGGATTTTACAATCAGGTCGTTACGCGTCAAATACAGCCTTATTCGGGTTCGCCACTGTTTCACCTGGTTGGTGGGTTCCTGACATGTGCCGCTGCGACCAATGTGTATTTGCCCTATGCGAGTGTGCGTGTTATTGTGGGCTTTGCTCGCACAATAAGCCCTCTAAAACCAATTGAGTGAACACTGAAGTGGTATGATGGAAACCTAATGCGAACAACGTCCACTGTACTGTAGGTTATCTGTAAATCAATCATAGATTTTCGGTAGGAATTTTTAGGTCCCCTACACAACGTTAGACTCGCGGCTGTCGGAGCTTGAATGAATCGTGTCAATAACCTAAGCTTGGATAATTCAATGAGAGCGGACGAACCGAAACGATTCGGCAGGGTGATGCAAATAAATAAGTACTCTAAACACTCAGTAACTAACAGATAGTGAACACGCTATCCGAGACGGTGAGAGAGATGACAACGTAGTGATGACCGTGGGAGTGCACCATAGAGATAGCACTACCGATGCCATCTGGAAGATCCGCAAGGCACTGTTTTATCCGATATTCTTCCTATTGTCATGGAGAAGCCTTCTTAATCAGGCGCGAACCTCGAACTGACGACTCTAACCTCGCATGCACCCACCAACTAGCTTAAACAGCTGATGAGTGATAGCCATGAAAATCTTGGCTTTAGTTAGCTGCTGGCTTGATCCAGCAATAAATTTACCGTTGAGGAGTAATCGGACTGTTTCACCTGATCTTCAGATTGCAAAACCCTATGCTGCACATTTTCGAAGCGTAAGAACTTTTCTCTTGATTTTATTTCCAAATCTAGGTTTACGGCCTCTGGAATGCATAAGTAACAGTAAGATCGAGGACAGATTCGACAGTGGGAGAGGAAAAGTCATGGAGACCTCGGTATACTGTGAGAAGATTATTGACAGCCCTTTCTAAACCCAAAACAACGGACTGAAGACCACCAGAGAGTATTGTTAAACCAAGTGGGAGTCTTTCTTCACCAAGCACGATCGGGATATCGACCGGGTCCAGGGGACCTTAAATATTAAGGGATTTTGCTACCACTGGCCGGTAGTATTCAAGGTGCTGCTAGTGAACTTGTAGGTGTGATCAGTGTACTCTCTAACGTTATGAGGCTAGCGTGCCAGTCTCAAGCCGCGAGGTTGAGTCTGTAGCACTGACAGCGTCAGTAGCCAGGTCCGTATCACAACCGGTTTGGGTGGGTTTCCCGAGTGTGTTGATTTATCTTAGTTACCGGGGGCATGCTTTTGTTCTCACACAACTTAGGGGATGAACTACACAGAGTCTTTGGACAACACAGTTGCAAACCCAACTAACCCAGCAGTCTGATGGCATGCAAAGAGAGAAAAGTGCACAGGTGTGTCAGATAGTGGAGAGCTGCTTTAGACTCACACATCCTGACCTGAGTTCAGAGGATCGAACGCAATACCCAGGTAGACTGCGACGGACAATTAAATTGTTAGTAAAAATTTTGCACCCAGAAGCTAAGACAGTGGTTCTGTATACTAAATCCCCATTACTACTTCCGCTCACACCAACCGGTTTCTCTGATCCTGCTTTTGGAATACCATTGAATCACTTCTGAAAATTTACAGCTTCGACAGGCGCATATGTTTTCGGATCTTTTTGACTTAGTTTTCTCTCTCAGCATACACACAGACTGCCCTCAAGTTGGCACGTAACGAACCAAACTTATTTATGCCGTGTTAGAACGGATACACTCCCTTTGTATCGGGGAGCGACGGTCAATGTTCTGGGATTCACCGCACGAAAGCTTACAAACTACTGACCTAAGTCGTAACTTTAACCCAGTTACAGCTGACATCTGATGACGCATCTTCTTGTTTGCCAACTAGTTATCTGTTGATTATTTACACAGACTGTTTCTTGTTTTTTTTTGTTGGGAATTTTCCCAAAAATTATACTGGCCCCAGACTATGGTTTAGATCAGTGCTAGTCTTCCAGGGAAATCAACAATCTGGAAAACTGCCTTGCCGTCGGCACCTTATGGCGACGTGCAACGAGGTAGATCTCGCAACACTAACCGGAAAAATGAACCGTAGTGTACAGAGCCGAGCTGTTTCAAGAGTTAGATTCCTTGTGTTAATTTGTCCTATCAAATTGGTACATAAAAGAACGATAAATGAACCATGTCTTCAACAAAAATCTACAGTTTTTGCCTGGTTCTGACAACTTTCTGGCACGTCTCTTAGAGAAGCTGGATTGGTTTACACCCATCTTTACAATGACAAGCTATACCACTACTCTTCCAAAGTAGTAAATGAAAGTAATTTTTACTTTAATGTACACTTTGATCCGAGAAACTGGATTGGACGGTAGCACCATTTTCGGCATTCATTCCACTGAAATGATCGTTGCCGGGTAGCTTTTTAACAATGGTTGTAGAAGGTCCGCAGACAACCTCATAAATTAAAGTTTACGAGAGTGAAGGTATTTCCAACTCTTTTAGAAAGAGACCTGCCGAAGTCAGCTGCGCACTCAGTGTCACAATTAGGATCAACAGATATCATTTTCGCTTCACAGAGTGATATAGCATCTTTTGATTTCATTACTTCTGTCAAATCTGGCACCCGGATCATTGATTGCTTTTGTGAAGTTTATATAAAGAAATTGAAATAAAGGAAACAGTTCACTCGCTCCTAAACTGACTGATTTTCATGACCTACTTGTCTGGCTAGTTCTTTTGCATAAATCACAGACTCCTCTGAATGTCGCGTAAAACCTCCTTCCATTTGGTCAGAGCCCGATAGTAGTATTGCACGGTTGAACAAGGGTGGTTTCCGAAGACCGGAATACCTAGAGAGTAAATGCACCGATAAATCAGCAGCAGCGGAGCCATGGCCAACTACTGTTATCTGGAAAAAAGTGAAAAAAGTCAGCAAATAAGCGCTTAATAATTAATCAGAGGAGAAACTGTTAGACACCAAGCAGTGTTACGTACAACCGAATGCGGTACTTCTGAACCGACGCCAAGCACTTGATGTCTTTGGGTGCCAAAGCAGTAATGACAACAAACTCTGTAGGGTCAAACTCGATCTAAAAATTTCCACGTCACCACAAGATCAGAAGTTACGAGCAAATGTTCCAGAAGCTAGTCAGTCATGTATCTTGGGCGATACTGACCCTCCTTGTAATACTTCCACAAACAAGAAAGCTCCTTCCCTTTGAGAAAAAAATTGCAACCTATTGAATTCATGCTAGTAATCTTGAATAATGGAAGTTTTATTCTGCAGTCACGAAAATCATGAGAAGGCTGCATGGTTCAGGTTTATGAGTTTCCCATTTAATTGGTTCCTGTTACACAGCCAAAAAAGTTTCCACGGAGTCGCGTTTGCCAACAAGTTAATGTCAAACTAAAGCAACACAGAGTACAAGATTTATAAAATTCACCTGATTTGGATCACCAAAGAATTTGCGCGCGTTTTCCTTGATGAATTCCAATGCTCTCACTTGATCCCATAATCCGTAATTGCCGAAGGCTGAATTGTCCGTTTCGGGTAGTTGTGCTTGCCTCATATATTTGCTCTCCGTTGCCAAATAACCGAACGGACCAAGTCGGTAATTTACGATTATCACTACCATTCCTAGCTGTGCCAGAATGTGACCAGGATAGCGGTTTGCTGTCCCAGTTAAATGATTCATTCCATCAAAGAATACAAGAATAGGCAATTTTCGTGCTTGTCCTGGAAGTAGCCCACCACCGGTTGAATCAGTTTCATTGAGCGCATAAATGTTAAGGTAGAGACAATCTTCGCTAGTATTGGTTTGTAATTTCTCCGGCTGTCGGAAGTTTATTCGTTTGTCCCATTCATGGGGTGAAGTAGCCCAGGTACTGAATTGAGCTCCAGGACTTGCTACGGGTTGTGCACACGACGCACGAAAATAAGTGGCGTCGTATTTCTCCTGCGATCTTACTGGAGGCACAGGACGCCGGAAACGCAGGCTGTTTGCACGTGTAGGTGGACGTGCGTACGGCACACCTCGCCAGATCTGAAAATCCGCAGAGAAAAGATAGCGTCTACAAGTGATATTAGATAACGTGAGTTCAGTGTGTGAAAACCACCACCATTTTGAACGGGTTGCTTCATTAAATAGATTGCTTCGTTAAATTTCTTCTTCTTAAGCAATGCTGAAGTAATATTCTGCATCTGTATGCTTTTATTCTACAACAAGGCATTCCCACGAAGACTGGCTTTATGAAGCCGAGAAAAGTGTCCTCATTTGTAGACACAAAATACCCTGAAATACTTTTCAGCCTTCCAAAGGTACGACTCGGCAAATCAAAGCAACTTTATGAGTGGTTTGCTTTGCCAAGACAAGCCAAAATGCATTATGTGCGGATTGAGTTATCAGGTAGGTACAACCAAGTTTCGTCACTTACTGTTCAGTTAACACGCCTAAACCCGAAACCGTGCGACCGCTGACCTCACCAGTGTGTACGGCGCAATTCAGTTAAAGCGTCGAATATTTAGGGTATCTCTCCACTTTTAATGGTAAGACAACTAACTTTATCTTTTCCTGATCCTCGAGGGGAATCTAAAAGTTGTCAGTCCGTTAGATCAGAGTTCTTGAAGTTGGTATCAAATTATAAGTTGTCTGTACTGTAACAGCAGTTCACGACACTTTTCTTTCTTCTTGGGGTCAGTGAACTGAATGCTACAAGATTCGGCTGGTTTATCATGTTCCAGTTTGACGCAATCAAGTTCAGGGTCACGCAACCACCGACTTTACTTCTGCATATAGCACAAGTGATGGGATCGAGGTTCCGTCCTGCAAGCAAGGTCACTCTAGGCTGTAAAAAAGAGCGATCTTGAACAGCTGCTTCATCCTTATTGGAAACTAGCAGCAGCGCGCATCTTTACCCAACCCACCACCATGAGGCCATTAGTTGCAGAGTAAACCGTTTGTATTATCAATAGGGATTTTGTCCTGCCAGTGAAGCCGATCTATGTTGAAAATCCGAGAAGCACTGTACAGCAGTTTCATCATTTTTCTGAAGGGTCAACAATACGCACCTCGGGAAACTCAGAGTTTTTGGCCCGCAAACCTCCGGCCACTGGTTGGACACTACCGTTTCCCTACAACTAGCTGATCGGCAACGCGATCTGCTCGCAGTTATTCCTTGGGATTATGTCTGAGTTTAGCGCCTTTCGGAATTGCGAGCGCGTGACTTGATAATTACCAGATATTCGATGTGAATCGTAGAAATTTCAGAAAAGTTATTCAATTCTCAAATTTGACGCAGTCTTTTTCATTCACTAGCTTAATATGATGNTAGCTGATCGGCGATCTGCTCGCAGTTATTCCTTGGGATTATGTCTGAGTTTAGCGCCTTTCGGAATTGCGAGCGCGTGACTTGATAATTACCAGATATTCGATGTGAATCGTAGAAATTTCAGAAAAGTTATTCAATTCTCAAATTTGACGCAGTCTTTTTCATTCACTAGCTTAATATGATGACATATGATGAGTCAAACTCAAAAACGTTCATAAATATTTATTGTGAAGTGAATATCTAAAATCATCCGGGCTCTGTTTTGAGTGCAGTAATCTTGACCCATCAATAGCACAAAGAGATGCACAGATATACACGATTTCGATAAACAATGCACCTAGGGTTTGTCTATAGTAAATCTTTGGCCGTCAAGTAATGTTTATTTTGTAGCCTTGTCTTTATGACTTTGCAGTCGGACGCTTCTGAATTTTCCGACTTGCTGTAGGTTGAAAGGGTCAATATACGAACGATTTGTTTAAACGTAACACACCAAATGCTCATATGATATTTTTCACCGACTTTTTCCTTTCACCTTTTTCTTCGGTGACAAAGTCCGTATTCCAAATGTAAGCTAACGATGAGTTTGATGTGAGTGGTGGTTTTCAGTAGCGTTATGCGTAAATTTATTACCAAAGTCTGAGTTAAAGCTTTTTATTTTGGACGGATCAGCGAAAGTGAGATCAACGTCTGAAAGTTGGTCAATCAAAACACCAGTCAGCTATTGTAGTCCACTCATTTGTGACGATTCACAAAAAAAGACTGTACAACTTTCAGAGTTTTCCAATGGTTATATTCCCGCACGATTGACACCAAATAATTGTACATAATAGCGATATTTTGAGATGTAATAAAAATGGGCACAGCCCCCTTTTTATGGTGAAACCGTTTGGAATACCCACAAAACATTGACAAGCATGTGTCAGAAGCACCGATCATATCACCCTGAAATTTGTCACAACAAGAGGCTAACCAGCGTCCCCAAGGTTTTGTCAACTTTGGTATTTGCTTAATTGGTAGACTATCTGCGTAACATGGGAGGTGTTTTTCAGTCAGACGATGAGAAATTCGGGCTTGATGGTCCAATTCAGCTAGACCCATGGTTCTGAAGACAATTTTTTAGCTATGCGCCGCTGCGTTAAGAGTCCGTCCCCAGCTAGACGCTTGCTAGGTAGTATTCATTTCACACCATCGGAATAACCTTCCTCTCATTTCTACATGGATGCCCTGCTTCATCAACTGCAAACAAAACACAGCGAATCAGTACGTCTTTCATATTGGAACTCATAGCTGGTATAAATTATCTATCACGTCAGGATTTTGACTCTAGTCATTTGATGCGACTACTTACCGCGAGATGACTAGTCCAAGGAGGCATTAAGGAATACGAACGAACTTCAGAATCCTAACAAAAAACTGATTATATAATCTTAGACTAAAGTTTTTCAAACTGCATAGCATTTTTATGTTGTCCTTAGCTAAGATGAAGTACATTACACCCAAACAGGTTTCTCCATTTTGGGGTGTAGGTTACCTGATAGCGATGTGGTCAGCTTTCACACATCTGTAAGATTGCTAGCCTCATGGAAAGCAGATACTCCTAAAATAAGATTAAAATTGCCCGATCTCAGATTTTTCAGTGTTACTGGGGCCAATGCACTCCCGAAACAGCTTTAACGAAAAGTGCGGCCTGCCAAACACGGAATAAAAAACATGCTTCATGGACTCAATTCTGGGCCACAAGTATGAGATGTTTGATTGTTTTGTAGGCTCAACTAATAAACGTGATGGCAATTGGCAAGTTAATTTTCGCGTATACACCAATCAAAGCCATCGAACTACCAATTCTTGTCCTTAGAGAAACTATCGCTTTACGGTGCGACAACTTCCGATCAGCACCATTCACGATAATGCTATCTCGGTAAGTTCAGGATAATCTTTCTTCGGAAATCAAGTGCACTTTCACTCTCACTTTCGAGCAAGACCTGGCGAATACTACGTCTCGGACCAAACGAAAGCAGTTCCTTTTCACAAAAGTAAGGCTTCGAGTGAACGAAGCAACAAGGGAGGACCTACCAGCTAGCCCCATAGCAGGTAGATTTGGTATGATCAGAATCCAAATTTGCGTCACTGGCAGATTTTGTAGTTGACAGAAACAAAAAGCATGCACTTTGTCAAACGAGCTCGTATGAACGTATGGTGAAAAGTGAGGATATGTCGGCATCTGACACAGCTCAAGCCAACTGTGATATAAATCCTTCACTTGTCTGTCCATCATTTATCACCCGTGCATTACACATTACTCAGCGCGAAACGAGTCAGATACATTCCCATTCAAAGATGGTTGCCGTTGCTCCCTATTTGCGGTATATCGTTGAAACCTCAATTGTTCGTTTCTTCCACCGCACTCCAGACAATCTGGAAGACGTTTGCAGCAACTGCATTAATAGCTTGTGCTTCTAAAGAGAGTGCGCTTTCATGAGGAAAGCACCCCACTCTCATTAAATTCAGTAGCGTGTATCCCTAAACCAGATCTCTTTCTAAATTAGATTGTATGTTATTGCAAACGGTCAATGGGCAACGGTCAAATGGTCAATGGGGATTCAAAAAATCAATGCAATTAAGGTTAGGTGGCATATTAAGGGCAGGCATGTGACGATTATGGCAAAAGTTGTCATTTAATGTGTTAATTGGCAATGAACTTGATTGGCTTAATAATGCTTTCACTTTTCCCGCGCACTGAGTTCGAAATTACATTTAAAATGTCATGAATGACTGAAAACTGCTGTCCCTTACTATTCGTCCAATTTTTCTCCTGTTGCTGAATGCTAGGATACCATATTTGCAGCCTCTGGGAGCAAATGTAACAATGCAACTCCAGCGGTTTGAACGAGTGCTAAAAGTATGATGCGATACTTCTTGTAATCCAATTTGGGTTTCTTTCGCTCATTAGGATGAGCTTCAATTAGGATGGGCATCAAAACTCCCCAAGGAAAATGGTGAAAACATAAAAAATACAGAAGTTAAGAAGGGGAATAAAAACAACGTGATATAGATGATCCCACACTAAAAATCACTCTTAACTCCTGGTATATTTTACTGTGTTTGTATAGAACCTATTTATGGATGGATATGGAGGCAAGATATATTGTTTTTGATTTCCGGTTGTCGAATTTACCGGTGATGTATTTGTTTAGCTCGAATAGGTGAAGAATTCTTCGCGGTAACTCACTTCCAAATATCTGCTCCCGTGATCGTGGTACCCATAAGGGTCGTCCAACAGAATAGCATACCCATACATTATTCCATAGTCCGTATAGACTGGTCTTGCATTACGGCAACAGTCCGGACGGAACGAGGCAGCACAGCCCGGGATCGGATCACAAACCGGACCGGTTTTCGCCACTGTATTAAAACAACAATCATCGCGGTGGCATCCAGTGGGCAACAGACAGTGGTCGTATTGAGCATACACCATTCCGAAGCAAAATAAAACGTGAAAAACACACCGAACAAATTCTGTACAGATAAGCATTTTTCAGTCTGAAACATTTGTCTCTTAAAATCCCATCAGACGTTGCACCAATATTGTTTTTCAATATGAAAATGACTGAGTGCAATGAGAACTGTATCCGCAGTTGGTTATGTTGCGCAGAAACGGCCGGGGTACAGTACAGAACTGAAACAACACATGCGCCGAGTTTACGTGTGTGCTAAATGTGACTCGACGATGAGCTACATCGATTAGGTAAATATAGATAAAACCGTTTGGCGCGCACACCTTCGTGGGCCTGTGCGAATCTTTATGCAAATGCAATGGGTAACCAAGGTGACCATCTGCGATTCGATCTATATGACTCACAATGCCACATTGGGTTAGATGTACGCTCTCTGTGACGTAAGTTGTGCGCAGACTGGCAGGACCACAGTAAATAGACCGGGAAGAACTGTGCGGATCTGTCATTTCCATTAGGATTCAGCAGAAGTGCATATCTCATGTCCGCCAAGCAGTTCCCCAATATGTCGGTTTTCAGCAGTGGTATTGGTTACTCCATTTTAAGCCGCCGTTAAGCGTCTGCCAATATACTGCTCCCTTCAACTAAGATTTCGAAGAAGTGGACCGATTTCAGTGCATTAATGAGTGATGGTGGTATTATCTAAGGATTATGATTTTTTATACAGGTAGTGGTGACAGACCTACGTATAGGATGATGAGATCATTTTGTGCACAAATGATCAGCGTCACGCTAAAGAAGACAAAACACAAGCCAAATTCTCAGAAGTATGTCACCAAAGATCGCAATCGATAGCAATGTGCGTAGCTACAAGAGAGCAATTAAATCAAAGTGAAGAATCCCACACAGTTCAAAACAGACCGAGCTTCACTTGATCGTGAAATAAACTAATAAAGTCAGTCGAATAGTTTGGGTCCCTCGAATGTTTGATTCAAACACAGATGGTTGGGAGCATAGTAGACTCATCTATGAAGCTCGTCGTCAAGATGGGCAACTAACATCAAAAGCATTCCCCCATGATCTCGGAGGATTCAACCTGGAATTCAGCACAATTGAGAGGCTACTCTTGAACCAATGATAGATGAGGCTTGACACGTCATGATGATGCGAAGCACCGTTCCAACGAAGACCAAGATGCCAATTTTGAGAAACAGGCTTTCTTGCTTTCCGCTAATAATCACACATCAAAGCGTGTCGCAGAGACAACATGGTTCCCAAAACATGTGCTTCTGCATGTCCCAAATCAAGCTTTTACTTTGGAAGACACTATCTGGGGGAAACAACTGAAGTGAGTCTTCTTCAATCGACCCAAAAATAATGGTACCGAAAATTGCCACTGAGTTTGGTAATTCAATTGATATATTTTTTGAAGAAGCTGCAGTGAGCCGCCAAGTATTGTTACGATGGCTCTTTTGAGGACCACTTCCTACTATGCAGAGTTTTGGGATGGCTTTTATTATATTCTTTTTGTTGACTGAGTACTTCTTACAAGAGACCAGCTCTTCAAAAAGTAGCATTTTGCTTTCCTTTTCCCTCTCAAACAACTGCTACGGTGCGGTTTTCCTCAACAAAAACGGAAAGTTGGCTGGCCTATTTACTAAACAAGTGAGCAAAACTCATATCTTTGAAAAATTGGAACCCTGGCCCGTCGGCAGCTGCCGACTAGCAATGTAGGACCAACATTACTGCGTTCTGAACACCTGGTAAGTGGGATATACTGTCACAAGCTTCACTAGTGAGTGCTGACCGATAAGAGAACTGCGCATAATCACCATATACTTAAGCGCGACAACCCATGAGGCTGATATCGCTTTTGTCCAAAAGCACCGTTTGGAGTTTGAATCGTCGCAAACACAAGAATACAGGCCCCAATACAGGCGAAAGTCTATGTGTGAATCAGAGTACGGGTGTTTGTGTCTCACTGTGACGGTAGCCCTTAGCCGGTCTAGTCAAATATTCTGCATAATGCTACTCCGAATGATAAATTCTTCCACCAGTGTAGACACTGATGGAAAAAGTCTGCATTCCTTGGCGGTGATGTTGTTTAGGGTATAAAGGATTTGCACTCAGTCTAAATGCACAATCTGACTAAACAATTTAGTTTTTGGTCCCGTAGGTATTCCAAACAAAGTAATCTAGCTTCCTCAAGGAAAACTAATTACAAGGTGGCTGGAAAGTCCTTGACAACCAACAACCGACTTTGTACTTCTTAGGGCTCATTAGGCGGGCTCAGTCTCCCGGTAGCCATGTTCCACTTAAACCCAAATTGCTACTATCCCGCTATGCGACCAAAAATGGTATACGAAGTCTATGAGATTGCTTTTGTCTACCCAAACGAAATAGTCACATGTACCCTTGTTTAAAGCCTCTGTAACGCTTTCTACACCTTTATCATCCTATTTCACACTTTATGACTGTATTTTCCAGTACAGATGCAATCACAACCATAGGTATGAAAGCCTTGTGCCTGGACTCTCGCTTACATTCACACATAACTCAAAAGTTATCAGGAATATTATATACATGTATATTATATAACTAGAGTAAAGGCGATAGCAGACGTGTCGTTGAGTGTGTTACACGTATTAATATTGGTATTCACAGTATTATTCCTTCACAGCAAAAGTGAATGTAATCAATGATTGTTTAATAATAATTCATTAAAGGAACTTTGTTTCCAATATCCAATGTACATTCAATGTTGATATGTTTATAGCAGGACCTCCCTCCATTTTGTGTGTGGATCATCAATAGACCTCAAAAGTTTCAGTTCGAATTCAGATATCCATTAGACAGCCAATGGGACAGACACCTCACTTAGGACCAAGCAGACTATTACGCTTCAGAATTACATTTTTTTCAACTCAAATCCTGAAGAGGGTTGGGGGTAATCGTTAAGAGGAAACCATGATTTTTGAGGTGACATTAACTGGCAATGAGACCTCCGTAAATAGAAAATAGGCTCGGCACCCAAGTCAATTCAGATGTATATTCCTTAATTCTGGACCGACTTCTTGTTAACGTGCTTTGTGAACGCAAATCAATGAACACTTGTACTTTGCATCAAAGTAGACTGTGCAAATCTCTGATCCCGCATTGACCGTGCTTTACCAACCAGCCTGTCCTGTACGCCTTGAGACGTAACGCGCCGCTGGTTACATCTAATCACTCCGACCTCAGAGTTTTAGTCCAACGTAAACACTGCGGTTGAGACCAAGGGATCTGTTTTGAAGGCCAGAACTCAAACATACAATGTTGCAGATTGTAACATAATACTGTATGGGATTACGTCGTTTGTTGGAGGCCATGTACGTGCACATTGGTCGTTTCATTTTATTTGGGTCTAATAAATTCAGCCAAATCACTCAGAAGGCTCGTTGTGTCTGGACTATACAAAAATTCCATTATTCCAAGTTCGTTTATTGGAGCTAAACTCCGATGGCCCACTTTTTCTTGCGCACCAGCGGAATGAATAGCATGTGGTAAAAGGCCTTTTAGTTCGGAAGAGACCCACTGCAGCCAACACGGATCTCAGCAAACGCAAAACTTTTGACAAAAGAAGACAATACGGATCGTCCGGACGGTCTTGTGGTTCAAATGTTTAAGCAGGAACATTAAATCGGGAGAAAGCCTATCTGAAGCTGAAAAAAATCTGCTCAAACAAAACCAACGGGTATAAAAGGTTGTTCCAGTTAATTTTTAAATTCTGTGCTTTCGAAATCTCTGTTGCGATGAGTCTGTTGTTCAGTTGTGTCTGACGTGGAATGCTGTCATTATTTCCCATATACCAAGGTGCTTTCACTTGGTTATCCAGAAAAATTCCATCACATTTCGTTTGCCTCAACTCTAATAAAAGTGTCGTTTAACCTTGCTACTACAAGATTCCAATTAAGGAACTCCAGTTTTGTATGTCAGTTTGTGTACATGGCTCGAAATTCAACTATGGCACTGTGGCTGGCTTCTTGACACCATCTTTTTGGTTAAGATGTCAGGTGCGTGCGATTCATGGATTTTAATGAGGCCTTTGATTCAGTCGACCAAGTGCGCCTTCAGTGAAGGCCTTGGAGCATGGACTCCGAAAGATCCGGTCAATCTCTTTTACCGACTGAAAGCAATATATTCCCACTGGCAGAGTTGCAGAAACTTACCAATCAGTGAGTCTGTCTCAAAAAGATCCTAATTTACCGCTTCGGCACCTCGCATAGTGCCGTTGCGTAAAATACGCGTGTGATAAACTGGTGTCTTTGTATGCCTTGCTCTTATAGATTTCTCTGCTTATTTAAACTAAAGTTAAGCTTCCTTTATGTTAATGGATATAGCATATCGCCCCTTCAGCTAGGCCTATCCTACTGAATGTGATTGTGTTTTCACTGAGGTAGAAACGATTCCACCAATTATCGCCCCAACTGTTATAGACCATTGTTCACTGGCACAAGTGATTTGTACAAAATAACATGTTATTATCTTATCTCACTTGATATGCTTCGAACCTGTCGCAAAAATCTTCCCTTAACATTATTAACATGGTCACCCAAGATTACGACACTTGCTGCTGCCTTATCGATTACTGAATGCTGTTCAACCGCCGTTTCCAGCGAGCAATAGGATTAGTAACAAACGATGCGTCCAACCCTTAGCGGTTTCCGTTTTTGTCAATGTTTCTGGTAGATGCGCTAGATGTACCACTTATTGTGACACTTCTTACGTAACGCTTCGATGACCGTACCTACATGTCACATCCAGATACGAACAAGTGATCCTAGAAACCTCTCTTCCTCTGCAATTCTGTCCGTTTTTAGGCCAGGATGTCTGTATTTAGAAACTAAACTTTTATCCATAATGCTTAATTGCCGAATCAAGTTAGTCGCTTAGAACCGAACTTTGGGGACTAACGCGGAAAACGTGGATCGCCTTCCTGGCTTATTCTCTCCTCCTTTTTTCCCAGGTTATTTTTTGCTTTCTCGGTTTTCGCTTATGTTAATCTATGCATATGTATGTACCTACAGGGAACAACCTTTATCACAGTGCTCGTTTGCCTCTGAAAACCAGTCGTTAAACTTAGCTAACACAAAACTGAGACAACCACCCACGCCAGTATAGTTGGCAATAAAGGCTTTAAAAATCCCTCGTCCAAAAGAACCGCGTCTTCGCCTGTTGCAAGAAGAAATTTTGTGGGAAATTTTTGTTTTTCAGAATGCACCGAATGATTGGAGATTTTGCAGTAGATTTTGAGCAAAAACATCACGGAGGACTTTTGGTCCCATCAGAATCGCGTACAAAAATCAGATGGTAGTCCTTCATCGGTTCATGCTTCTTTGAAGGCTGCAAAAAAAAGAGAAGTAAAAATCATTGAATCCAGATCTACCGGAAGTTTTTTCATTGTGCGCGGAAAAGACAGTAAACCCAGCCGTATGGCAAAGTGATGCATAGAATGGGACACAAAAGCTCTCAGATCCATGTTGGAGATGGTATTTTGCTGTGTTTGGCGGTAATAAGCTTTTCAACAAAGTGTTTTATTAAGCGATCTTGCTAGATTCAACGTATGGATCCTAGTGAGTAGCGCCGACAATCGACCGACAGCCTGGATCAATAATCAGCTTATAGGAAGGCTTTTTACAGGGAGTATGATGAGAAAAACGTCAACAGCTATTGTGGATACTGCTGGTCACCCGTTCAGCTGAATTATTCCTTGACGACAAAACTTCCGTTTCCGTTAGGGTTGAACTCAATAGCTGGGTTAGCCAGATGTGATTGGACTTGTCTCTGTCTGCTGTCTGTCCCAAAGTCAAAAACTACGAGCTGTCGAGTAGGCGACCTAATTGTTTCTGTATCCAGCGGTAGTCCGATCACAAGAGGCTGGAGAATAAACACGATTTCATCATCGGAGTCGTATGGTGACTCACAAAATAAAGGAGACTCAGTCAAACACTCCTAGAGCAAACCCCCCATAGAATATCTTGTTTTTTTTCGATAAGGCCAATTTTTTCGGTACTTTTATGGAAGGGTCAAGCACACGAATGGGGACAATGTGAAACTGACATGACAAGTGAGTTTGAATGAGAATGAAATGGAAAAAAAGGGGGGAGAATGTATATATTATATATATATAAACTATTCATTCATTTAAGCTGGATTTTCAACCATACTGCTTTCATAACGTACCGACTAAACTGGATGCAAAAGCTCCAAGTGTTTCACCCCTCTCCAGATTAAAGATACGAAGATGCCCTAAACGATCGGTTCTTTGGCTTGCCTACTTGGGCTTCCGAAATGACTGTGCACCTAGCTGAAACGCTGAGGATGTGTTTGACAAAAGTGCTCGAATTGAGTATTGCCAGTGAGTTAGTAGATAACCGGTAGAGGTGTAAGCTATCAATTCGTCATAATGTGAGATGAAAAAGGTCGCGGTATTGCGTTTTAGAGATCTGCGTTACGCAGCACCCTATATACAAGTTACTTTCTAGTACTTTCTAACCTTTGTCATTTGCGTCCAAGTGCCATACTGTTTAGCCGCTTACCAGAGTTCTGTGGACCCAAATCTTTGGTAGGTGCTTACTGTCGATGATTCTTACACATATTGGTTTCACTTACGGCAAAACCTCGGTTAAAGCGTTAAATTCTTGCATTTTTTTATTCTGAGGCATTCGCACATCCTTCTATTGTTAAAAATGTACAGAAAAGTGAAAAATTTTAGGATGGTTTTACGAATGACTTTGGATAGAGCTGGTGCAGTGTACTCTTATTGGATTGTCAGATCAGACTTTTGAAGAAAGCACTAGGGGACACTAGAAAAGCGAAAGGGTAACAAGATAATTTCTTATCTTCTTATCTTGGTCCATGTGAAGTAAACAATTCAGGAGGTATTACCAAGCACAAGAAGGGCGAGGCAGGAAAGCACCCCTTTTATGCATGTTGGACCAAACAGGAGATTGATATGACTGTGTCAATCGAATCAGGAGACAGTTCATTCCTCTTTGTCATCAGAGTCCATATATAGCAACCAATGGTGTGATTATACATTTTTCACTCCAGTCTACCGAGATCCCATTATCATGAATAGCATGCTCTGAAGTCTATTATGGTGTCTCGGTAGCTATTTTGTCGTCTCTGGAGATGAATTTGAAGGTTCTTTAGGGACGGAGACTTCTCGAGTGGGCGCAACAACGTACGTCCCCTCACAGAATACAAGCCGCTCATTCGGTTATCCAGACTACGAATGAATAGGCTGCATGGCAGCGCACATGCGGGCATCCTTCAGTTAAAACTCAACACATGGCTGACCTCATCGGTCACTTTAAGTCTGGTGTGTGCCAGGTTTGCCCAAAGCAGCGGTTACTGGGTTGTGATCGGAATTATGATGCAGGTGTCATGAGTGACCAAGAAACATAGAAATATACATAGGAATGTAAACGCAGGGAGAAGCGTGACTGGAGTAAATAAGTCCATAAAAGTTGACTGGCCGGTCACTAGTTTGGTTCGGCTAACAGCGACAAAGATAGGCCGAACGAGTCGTTTGGCTAGGTACCTCACTCGACAACAAATCTCAACAGATCATCGCATCCACCTAACTCCTTCGAACCAAGCTGTCATTTTCCAATCGATCCTTTTTTGAGGGATATGATTTGCACGATTCCGATTGAGCCCAGCATTTCTGAAGCACTTACGTCCTCTTGCACATGAACTTTACGAAATCAACATTGTAAGTCAATATAATGCACAAAGCTCCACTGACAAACTTACCTCTGGGGAGCATCTGGTTTATCAGACAGACGGACAAGACTTTTAAATCTACTCTCCCACAACACTTAAACAGTTATGTAAGAGAGTAGAGGGATTCTGAATAATGTACTCATTCATGGGCTCGGAATTGCGATCTGTAAGTAATTTAACGCAGCCTCAAATCCAAAGATAATTTGGATTAGTTACTGCAGTTTTCGCCTGGAACGTGAATTTCGCTTGATCCTTTTATGGCAAAGGAGCATCCCCTAGTTTCGGTTCTAACAACCTAAATTGCGGACAAGTTCAATGGTTGAGGTCATCCTGTTGCTTGAAAGCAGGCTGTTGTTGACGGTATCTCCTAAAATGGCAAGCAGTTGGTAATTCCTCGGAGAGGAAGACTGTCTTTAAGCAGGACGCAAACAGCACATGGCCTGAAAACGGCTATGCATTGTATTCACGTGAGGGGCATGTGCACTACTAGGTAACTCGATCCTTGGGTGTTTGAGAAGCGGATGTACACCTGTAGAACCCATCCGGAGGCAGCGGGTTTATTTGAAATCGAGTCCTTATTTTTGTCAGTTATGTCTTAGCAAGGCTTCGTTGCTCTATTGGATGGCTTAAATCATTGGTACAATGCTATATGTAAGGTTGACAAAAATTCTCCGAGTTTTCGCTATCCGTTCCCGGTTGGGATAGACGGTTCAATCACGTCGTTTGAGTAGCCTGTTCTCAGCGTTATTTTGTTTGAGAGCCTGATTTGAGATTTTTCACCTGCTGTTTGAGACGATTTCGACACACCGAAATGACCGGTTTTTCGCCCACCAGAAAACATCGTCTGAAAACATGATCGATTCCCACAACACTTGCTGTTTCACCTCTCCATTTTGGACAATGATTCTCAGCGCCTGTACGCACCACAATTTTAGAGGCAGCTTTTCAAAAACCCCTTTATCAGATGTTGTTTGTACGCTAAGACATCCTCGTAGTTTGACGTGACAAATTGGACAAGTCTACTACCATTGCAAGATCGTTTCCCAGTTTGTGAAGTCATCACAACGGCTTTCGTGAGTTTTGCAATCATGCGTATTTATAAGTCCAGTCGGCCTTACCCTAAAAATCCTTTCGAAATATTTCCTTGGCAGCGCACGCCATTGTAGTAATACTTGCTCGGATATTACGTCCAGTAAGTTGTTTGTAAAATAAACCAACGCCATTCTGCACCAAACACCTACACCTATACTTGTCTGGGAATTTGGTTTTATGTATTTCAGAAGCGGTCATTTGTAATTTGGATCAAGGCTATGGACATCATAAAACGTTCAATAACGCGGAAGGTGGTTTGCACTCACTTTAAACCCCAACTCGGAAGCCATTTTAGTGACTCGCTCCACATAAGCTTCGATTTCGGCAGGCCGCAACTCGACAATGTATCTGCAGGCACGGACATCATACGACGGTAAGAACCAGGCAAAGTATATGGTTAGAATTAGATGTGCAATGAGGCGCAACCAAAATTAGCACATTAAGACTGACCAAAAAGTTCAACTGTCTGCATATCCTAAAAGCAATTATTACTCTGAACTGTAGTCAAACAAGGTCAACTGTAACGCAGCTAGATGGCAGCCTTATTTGCATCTTTTCTATGTCAAAAGGCCTGGGATACGTTCACAAGACGTCTGGATAAAACCTTCGGGATAAATTGACAGGAATCTCAGGGTACGAAGACAGCAGTCTGAACATGACTCGGTGTGAAGATATGGTATCCTGAAGGATTCACAATACTTTGGGTTGCTTAACTGGAGACCAGATTATTTTAAGGTATTCTATCAAGACTCTTTAGGATTCCTGTCAAGTGAGCCGGATAATTTTATCCAGAGCGCTTACAGGAATACTAGAGTGCATTAAGACGGAAAAAGTGCACTGTCAAAACCTAGTAGTTTGGTAGCCCTTTGAGTTTTGACATGCATGAAATCGTGCTACTTATTTTTAATATAAGTAATATATTGTTTGTGTGAAGCTGAAAACAACGTGTCGTCAAGCAACAACGAGAGGCGGGTTGGCTACATTTGAGGCTATGTATGGCGATCTCTGACTATGAAATATGTTTTCAAATAATTCATACAGCAAGTACTGCGCTCAATGCAAAACTATCAAAGATAATCAACTGTCGAGTCAGTCGCAATACATAAATCGTATTCAAATTTCCACGAAGATGGAATCCCCCCAAACTGTCCCAACTTATTAAAGCCTTTTTTTTACGAAAAACCCAACTCATCAGGCTGCTAAAACTGCTGGAGAGTTTACAATCTGTTTCGTTCTTCTTGATTCCCGTTGGTTAGGTGCAGTCCTCCGGTTTCCGTCTTCCTCATGTCCTATTTGAACACTGAATTGGAGGCAACCGATGAAATGAAGTCACTTCTAATTAATTTGAACTTACCTAAAAACTAAAGCTAGTACCATGTATGCCCCTGTTTATGATATTCCTCGAACGAATGTGTTACCGACACTGTTATCACTTTATTGTACCTACGAAGAAAAATTTAATCTGTGATTCCAAACCACACTTTAAGGTACAGTTTACGGACCTACCCAGAAGAGACTGAAAACGAGTTCAGTGCCACAGTCAGGTATCGGAGTCTACCCCAGAGGTTTTAACTACTAGTTCACCGAACGGGTTTGGCAGCGCAAACCAAGCAACTTTTGTGTGAATGCTTGAATCAGGTTAACTGTAGGCATCGCATAACATGTACAGTACTGAGGAAGAAAAAAGCTCGGTAGCTGGCTGCATTCAGTATCTCACCCCTCACGAATTCATCCGGAAATTTCTGGCAAACTGTAGTCCGAATTTTTAGGCATATAAGACTGCAGAAATCGCTTAGTTCATCCACTACTCCAGTGCTTTGAATCAACTTTTGGGCGTACGTTCTACTGATTAGATTTCTGGTTTTTTTCCTGTTACATCACATAGGTGGACCAATTGAGACCCTTTTGTAGTTTAAGACCTGGAGCTTGTGAAGGCTGTTTTCAGAGTAACGTACCAACTACAGATTAGCCGCACTTAAGATTTGTCGCACATCGAAGCATATTTTCCATCCGTTTTCTATCACACTAACAAAGACTGCCCTCCATAAGGAACTACTTCCAGTTGGTCACTGCTGGTGCTTGCACTGCAGTGAAGCACCTGTCATTTCAAATCGGAGACAAGTAGGAGGTCAGGAATTTGACCTGAAATTGAGTATGACAGCTTCGATACGTTTGTGGAAATAAACATTTTGCGCAAACATTTTGAAAAACAATAAAACAGTACAAGGAAATTTTCAAGTTTCAGCATAGTGGCCGGTCAAAAAACGGCTAGCTACAAACCAGCATTTGCCATTTAACTTACAACACAGACTCCACAATGAGAATAGCTTTGCTGCTGAGCAGCGCCATGAGGCCCGTGCAGGGCTCGCTCTCAGTAAACTGCCGATCCTTCGGATTGGGAGATGTTTGTTCTTTTGGATTGATTGTATCATCACTGAGAGCTGCTTCGGGGAAACGTGAATTGTGCACTGGTTTGAGGTTTGCACTGTCCAACAGTTGGACTAAACCACACCCCACATAGATTATATCGATGGGATGTGGGTTCTCTCCCAAGATGATTGACTGATATCGAGTTGGCAGGTCGGGAAAAGAGTTAACTGGCAAGTATTTAACTGTCACCGGGACTGATGGTTGTACGGGAACTGGAAAAGACAGACGAGAATCGGGTTGATGCAGTAGCAATTTATTTTATGACTGGATTATGACAACAGCTAAGCTAAAAGCTGTCAGTGGTTTGGACATGTGTTTTCTTAAAGAGTTCGCCTCGTCTTATTGTCATTCAGTTGTGCTCAACCTGCGACTCTCGGCTACGCAGCATAACTGTGTACAATTCAGTTCAGAAATGTGGCAGAACTACAAGTGGCCTCTGAAAAGAAAACCTGAACTCCCGGGCGTTCCAGTAACAGTCAAATGTAAAAACACCCTTCAATTCAGTTAGTTAACATTCGGAGGAAATCTGGTGAAACACAGCCTCGTTCACACATCTGTAGACGGGTCATTCAATAAAGCAAACTTACCGTATGGGGTTTCCCGCAGGTGCGTTTCAAAGGAAGCCATGTTCGAGATATCTCCACCTTCAAATTAAGCGAAAATAATGAAAACCTCAATCAACAGAGGGAATCTTTTGGTATGATGTAACGGTAATCCGGTTCAAATTCAGACGGTGTTAAAAAACGTGTAACCTTTAGGGTGTTTCGGTTCAATTTTGATCCTGAAGGAAAAAAAACGTAAATTGTGCCATCGCGATTCTGGTTTGACATTATTGCAAGCAAGTACTTTTATGCTGCACTATTTCAAGCCCGATTGAAAGCTTTGTTTAGTGCGATTATCACAAGATCTCGAAAGCACCAAACGACAACCTCTTCCTCTGGTGGGAAAAGTTTGAAAAGAAAGCATTTCTCACTCATTAGAACGACCACACACTGTCGTGAAATGCAAGAAAAGCAATTCAACTATAAAGATCCTAAAAGAACATCACCCACTATTAGCATTTTGCCTGTTTTTCTTAAACACAGCTTCGTTTCTACTGTCTGTATAGCAATTGGAACACTACTCATTATTATCTCCACACTGAGACCGGTGAGATTCAGGCCCAATAGTTCCACAATATGAGTGACTTCAGAAGAAACCACTTATGTCAGCCACGCACAAGAATATTAGTGCGTGCCTGCACGACGTGACTTACAAAGGAACCTTTTAACTTGTTTCAGTAAACAGTGGTTGTCAGAAGCTTTCGAGTCTTTTCTCGAAAGAAAATTGACTACATTAAAAGTGCGCTAAGCACGGGAAGTGGAAGTGATTTTTAACAGATTCGACGACAGTGGACTACTGGTATGCGATCGAACTGCAACTGTCAGTACGACGTTGATGGAGAAGACGATTGTGATATTGTTGTTCATCGTGATGATGATGATGATGATGATGACGATGAAGATGATGGGAGTGCCTATGGGCGTGGATTATTCTGCGTGTATCGCGAATGACGACGATCAAATGTCTCTGAAACATTTGCTATAAAGTCGTTTTTTGTGTATGCTTCCTACAAATCGCCTGTGAAAACCGATTTTCTCTCCGACCACACTTACGAACATCACTGTGGATTTCATTCTTTAAAATGGAGTTATCTTCAAGCTCAAAGAAGCGATGCGTGTAAAGCACAGCACAACGATGAAGATCACAATACGAAAACAAATGCAATGAGTTTGTTTCTTGTGTTTCTGTATCTTTTGACCGAGCTTCATTTGAAGCAAAATGATCAACTAGGAATTGATAGAGCCTAACCACTAGACACAGCCCACTCCTAATGCCATAGTACATAGACAACACAGGTTTAATACAGACAATCGAGACAGAGAGGCATGGTTGCTCCTTCTTCAGTAGAGCCCTTCAGAAGAAATCACATTTTATTGGTTCTTTAAAGCATACTTCAATAGGGAGCCCTTTGCATCTCACCTGAAAAAGTGACCACTTTGGTATTCGCTAGGGGGAAAGTAAAAATTAATTCGTGGTGTGATGAAACAGCTTAATTCAGAACGGAGCGAGTGTATGATACGGTCAGATTAAAACAGTAGACTGTCAGTGACCAGAACTAATCCACAAACCTTCTTACACAATTCTCATTTTCACAGAAATGTTCCCCATAAATAAATCATCAGTTATAGGACAGCGAATTGCCCATGTTTCACAAGGATAATGAGTTGGAGTCTTTTCTAGCAAATTAGTTTCGCGTAAATCAATGAGAGAACAACAAGCGTAGCTGCATCCTCTTCAATAAAAGCGTGCGCCCCTATACCAATCAGCCTGCATTAGTTACTCGACATGCAAGAAACTGCTTGTTCATCGCTGAAGTTGAAACTGTTCAGTCATTATTATGCACAGGCTTTCAAACCGAGAAATTCAACGATTTGCTGAACATTCTTTGGTGTTACCGACAGTAGGTCTAACCCAAATCATGAAGGCCTTCAATCGTCAATCAATGGATAAAGTTTCCTGAGAATGTTAGGGTTACGGATTTTAAGTGCGGAGTGCTGAGATGTTGAGTTTTGGTGGCTAACGACTTTTGAAGAGCACACACTAGTTGACCGAAATAAGCTCAACTCATCCGCGCGTCTTTCCTCGAAAGCTTGAGTTTTGACTTAATGCGATGGATTGACTTTTCCTGTTTCGTATGCATTTTGTTGGATAAACTTCGCATGATTTGGCGGTACTCACTGAATATACCAGGCTATCCGGCTGGGTTGACCAAGGGGCCAGCGGGATCTTATGACCGGGACAACAACAAATTGCTAGCTAACTTTCGTTTACGTGCGATGGCACTCCATCACGCCCTTCTTCTAGAGGAGCTCAGTATAAATGAGGAAATAATGATCATTATCTTTATCCATGGCAGCAACCTAATTGTTGAAGGATTCGTGCATCGCTGCTGATGTATAAACAAAATAATGATGAGCAGAGAAAAATGCTTACAGTGAGACTTTAACGTGCATACACCCCAGACGCCGTCATATCTTATGAATAAATCTTGATAACGTAAAGGCTGCTGTCATGAGTTTGCCGTCAGATATTGCAATCCAAGCAGAGAAGGGGTCACATGGATCCAGTCCTTTTCGAAAGAGGAAAATTTGAGATGCCTAAATGCATTCAAAGCAGGAAACTTTTAATTCGTCCTTCTCACATGTACCCCTCTGATTTATCTTTGATTAGTCCTGTATCAGGTTACTTGAAAAGTACTTACCAAAGTAAGTGAACCTAACCATATATAAACTATCAAGTATAACAAGGTATCTATTACCATATTTCTAAACAACTAGCAAGCAAAAAACTACCTGACTCGCCGTGGTTCTCGTCTACAAGTTGAAAGTTTTCGCCTTCATTCTCCGTCCCTGTAGTATCCTCTGTATCTCCAGACTGTTTCTCATCTTGCTTGTTATTTAAAAACGGTGCTGCAATTTTCTTAGGACATTCACGGTGGTGTTCAAGCCTCCAGAGCATTTCGCGGACGTTGACTTCAGCTACCGTAGTGGCTCCATAGACACGCTTTCCATTCACTTGTCTGGCTAATTCTGGGTGATTGTCCGTCCTGATACCGAGGGTTATGTATGGTGACGTAGTTATGTCACCCCAGTAACCCCAGTAGATGCTTGTCTCGCCTTTTGGGGTTTTAAACGACCTCCCTGATGCTAAGCTCCGGTTGGGAACGATATAATCCGCTTGACGCAGTTCAAAGGCCATGCCACACTGTCGCCAACGAGAATATTCCCGGCTGTCGATCTGTTCAGCCTAAAATATTAAACATGACCAAACAATGCATTCTTATTGGCATTAATTTCCCCAAGACGTACTGAATTCCCCGGAAAATTATACATGGTCGTGACCCCTGCATAATTTTGTTTCATCATCATCATCATCATCATCACAACAACATCATCCGAATCATCAACGTCATCATCATCATCGTTGTCGACAGCATGACAGTGTTCAGCACCGATGCTTCACTGCTCTACAACCATGATTCATTTGGAAGCCTTATTGTAAAGAAAAGAATAACGGTCGACGGGGAAGGGACTTAGTGCTAGCTTACTACAATCATTCCAAGGTGACCACACCTTCAGACATTCACTCAGGCAATCTGGATAGAAACTGACAAGAAGAACACCACTGACATATTGTTTATCCACAAACCATCTTAACAATCAAGCAACCTGCCAACATAGGCCACACTGAATTGAAGAATGTACAACTATCGCCCTGAGAAGTGTTAGTCTTATCATCTGGTTTAAAACCAAACTTTTTTCTTGCCATGTTCAAAACCATAAACGTTACATTCTTGATAACAAGGCATTTGGCCAATCATCATCATCATCATCATTGTCAGCTGTAATAACAGCGTACTTGTCGTACAGTGGTTGTAGCTGACACAGTTTTGTCACCGATGATTTGGGGAGGTGGGGTAGATAGATACGCATTCGAGGCGAGCTGATACATTCGTGCGTAGATACGGCACTGTAGGTGGACTGTTAAGTGGGGGGATTGGGGAGGGAGCTATGCATTGAAAGCAATAGCCTGGATGCATGAGCGCTATTGAGAGCGCGACTAGGCCATGTTTGACAATGTCTCTAACCATTGATATGTCCCGCCTCGGTGTCCCCATTCAGGAAAACGGCAATGACCAGTGCAGCTGAGTTTGCTGGTAATGGCATTTGGTCAATGGAACCCCTTTATTCGACCATCATTAATCATTCCCAGTGTCCAGGTTTATGAATCAAGCCACGCCACCTCAAGACTCCTTGAGTCTTTCTGATCAGTCTTTCAGGAGCTATTGATGTAAACGACATGTGGATGGTTGCATTCTCCTCAGTTTAGCTGATGGACTTCTATAGACTGTTTTTGCGCTCGGTTAGGCCAAGGATTGAGATTGTCTGGAAAAATTCAGATGACAATTTAGCAACAAACTTTTAAGGCCGTAAACGCGGTCGTTATCGCAGTTGCGCTGGTCATCGGTTAAGTCCATGCAACAAAATACATCAGTAACTAGTCGTTAATCTGACACCTAGCTAATTTTGCTCATGCCCCTATTCTCTTGCCTCCAATGAGTAACTAACTTCACACTTCCAACGCTTACTAATGAGGCGTTTTTGATAGAAAAATTTACCATGTTTTCCAGTGCATAGAGAAAAGGATCCAACCTAAGGTTCCAGAGCTCATTAGCTAGAGGAGTACACTGGTAGCTTGTAAAAGTTATTATTTTTGAGAAGCAAACTGAAGTGCCTAAACATCTTACTGTCCATTACTAGGTGTCCCCGTGTTATATGAGTTATCGCGACAAGGTTCCATCTAGTTCAGAGAATGACTGAAAAAGATTAACATTTTAGTACACTGAATATTGGCCAAATTGGACCCAGGAGTAGGATATTCTCTGCAACAAAAGCCAAAAAACAGTAACCAAAGGTCTTTTCATCTCCCGCTTACACAAGGTTAATAAACAAATGGGTAGCAATTTAAATTATATTACTAATTCCAACCTAAAACCTATCCCATGATCTAGCACAGAGAGGACTCTCCCAAAAGCATAACAGATTTTTGCAACATCCATTCATCCTGGGAACAACGCTCAAAGCTTTGTTGTATATCAGGATGCGAACCTAGCAAATTCTTCGGGGAACGTACTTTGCGGTCATGCAGGGTTATACTGCAGTCCCAATCAAAAACATTTGGGATGGCATCATACCGTGTGCCAAGATGTTTCCGAAGCCGGTAGTCCCTAAAATTGACAAAAGTTTGCTATTATCTGAGGAAATGTGAGTCATTTGTGGTCCTATATAGAATGAATAGATATAACCAAGAAAGTCTGCATAAATGTACGTACATCTCTTCTGATAAATAACAATGTCTTTTGACGGCTGCGGACTAGCCATTCTGTTCTTAGATTAATACTGGGAGCAGGAGTCTTGTCACGAACTTGAATTTATCATAAACCGCAGAATGCAATACCTTCCCCAATCAATGTAAAATGAGAATGAAGTCTTCTCTGAGTGCAAATCATTCGGAGGCAATTGGCCACTCCCTCGACAAGGTCGAAGATTGGATTTCGATTCGCAGATTTTCAAATGCGCCCAAGGATTAAATTAAAATTTTCATATCCAAATGAGTTTTCGTCCCTTAAGTGAAGTCAGATGAGAGTTAATACCAGTTGAGCTATCAAGGACGCTGGCTCACTTCTATGCACATGAACTTTACGGCTAAGTTGCTTCTTTCCTCGTTCCCCGGCCCTTACGTATAACTTCTCGGATTCTCGTCAGGTGAACTTTTTTCGGTTGTGTTTACCGTTGTTTCCGTCTGGTTCATCCGTCGGCGATTTTCACTTGAATTTCCTAGTAAATTAGGTTGTACATGTTCATACAGAGTTTGTGGTGGAGAACCGTGTTTTTAAGAGCTCTCTGACTTGTCTTGTGTTTCCGCATTTCTAGACCCTCATGTTTTCTCTAGCAAATATGTGCTATTGATTTTTGTATAGCAGAACCAAGGACAGTGGATCTTTTCTTCGGATTGCTGCATCTCTCTGAACAACCATCGTCCAGTTTGTCCAACACATAATACATAGTAGTCCATGTGATCGATTTGGTCAATGGAACCCCTTTATTCGACCATCATTAATCATTCCCAGTGTCCAGGTTTATGAATCAAGCCACGCCACCTCAAGACTCCTTGAGTCTTTCTGATCAGTCTTCAGGAGCTTATTGATGTAAACGACATGTGGATGGTTGCATTCTCCTCAGTTTAGCTGATGGACTTCTATAGACTGTTTTTGCGCTCGGTTAGACCAAGGATTGAGATTGTCTGGAAAAATTCAGATGACAATTTAGCAACAAACTTTTAAGGCCGTAAACGCGGTCGTTATCGCAGTTGCGCTGGTCATCGGTTAAGTCCATGCAACAAAATACATCAGTAACTAGTCGTTAATCTGACACCTAGCTAATTTTGCTCATGCCCCTATTCTCTTGCCTCCAATGAGTAACTAACTTCACACTTCCAACGCTTACTAATGAGGCGTTTTTGATAGAAAAATTTACCATGTTTTCCAGTGCATAGAGAAAAGGATCCAACCTAAGGTTCCAGAGCTCATTAGCTAGAGGAGTACACTGGTAGCTTGTAAAAGTTATTATTTTTGAGAAGCAAACTGAAGTGCCTAAACATCTTACTGTCCATTACTAGGTGTCCCCGTGTTATATGAGTTATCGCGACAAGGTTCCATCTAGTTCAGAGAATGACTGAAAAAGATTAACATTTTAGTACACTGAATATTGGCCAAATTGGACCCAGGAGTAGGATATTCTCTGCAACAAAAGCCAAAAAACAGTAACCAAAGGTCTTTTCATCTCCCGCTTACACAAGGTTAATAAACAAATGGGTAGCAATTTAAATTATATTACTAATTCCAACCTAAAACCTATCCCATGATCTAGCACAGAGAGGACTCTCCCAAAAGCATAACAGATTTTTGCAACATCCATTCATCCTGGGAACAACGCTCAAAGCTTTGTTGTATATCAGGATGCGAACCTAGCAAATTCTTCGGGGAACGTACTTTGCGGTCATGCAGGGTTATACTGCAGTCCCAATCAAAAACATTTGGGATGGCATCATACCGTGTGCCAAGATGTTTCCGAAGCCGGTAGTCCCTAAAATTGACAAAAGTTTGCTATTATCTGAGGAAATGTGAGTCATTTGTGGTCCTATATAGAATGAATAGATATAACCAAGAAAGTCTGCATAAATGTACGTACATCTCTTCTGATAAATAACAATGTCTTTTGACGGCTGCGGACTAGCCATTCTGTTCTTAGATTAATACTGGGAGCAGGAGTCTTGTCACGAACTTGAATTTATCATAAACCGCAGAATGCAATACCTTCCCCAATCAATGTAAAATGAGAATGAAGTCTTCTCTGAGTGCAAATCATTCGGAGGCAATTGGCCACTCCCTCGACAAGGTCGAAGATTGGATTTCGATTCGCAGATTTTCAAATGCGCCCAAGGATTAAATTAAAATTTTCATATCCAAATGAGTTTTCGTCCCTTAAGTGAAGTCAGATGAGAGTTAATACCAGTTGAGCTATCAAGGACGCTGGCTCACTTCTATGCACATGAACTTTACGGCTAAGTTGCTTCTTTCCTCGTTCCCCGGCCCTTACGTATAACTTCTCGGATTCTCGTCAGGTGAACTTTTTTCGGTTGTGTTTACCGTTGTTTCCGTCTGGTTCATCCGTCGGCGATTTTCACTTGAATTTCCTAGTAAATTAGGTTGTACATGTTCATACAGAGTTTGTGGTGGAGAACCGTGTTTTTAAGAGCTCTCTGACTTGTCTTGTGTTTCCGCATTTCTAGACCCTCATGTTTTCTCTAGCAAATATGTGCTATTGATTTTTGTATAGCAGAACCAAGGACAGTGGATCTTTTCTTCGGATTGCTGCATCTCTCTGAACAACCATCGTCCAGTTTGTCCAACACATAATACATAGTAGTCCATGTGATCGATTCGCTTGCTTCTGGTCGAGGTTGTTCCTCGTCCATTGGTTCACCCACCACAACAGTCCTTCTTGTTATAGTAGCCTTTCTCTAAATTCAGCTGTGTTTACTGATGCATTGCATAACGACCAGCAACCTTCTTTGATAAAGCTGCTTCGTTGCTGGTGTTCCATTGGGAGGCTTTCTCTCATGTTAGTCTTTATACCGGTAACGATCGTTTTAAAGTGTCCGATTTGGATTATCTACTTTCATTTCTTACAGTTTTGGTGAACAGAAGAGCTCCTCAACTTCTCCTGAAAGGGTCGACTTGTCTTGTGGTTCATAGGTTGGTTGCTTTGGTGTTGCTGTGGTTCCGCGTGTTTTCTTTTCTCTGAAAAACTCGAGTTTGAAGAATCTTCTCCATAGTCCTACTAAACTGAACATCTGAGAAGGGTGAATAATGGTTCTTTCCGAACTATTTTTTTGGTTTGAGGCTTCAAATATAATGTCAAACAGTTGTTTTGCGCACCAAAACGCAGACCATTTGGTAGTGGCGAAAGTGGGACCGATTGGTCGTAATACCAGGCTGTATTACTGTTTCACCGGTGAGCCCAAATATTAGCGATTCGACTTCTGGCGAACGATCTCAAGGTGTGACTTACCAGTGGGCAACCTAATACGTAAGATCTGATGGAATTCATTTGTTCCCTATTCACTCCATCGCTAAAAGTGGAACGCAACTGGACCGTCTGTCGTATCAACACAGCTATTGCAATTCACTGCTACTAAGTTGAGAGTAACATGAATTTGAATGTTTTCCTGGTTCACCCCATACAATAAGCTCTTCAAGAATAGCTTGATTTATCCGAAACAAGTGCGAAGCACCGCAGGTCAGTGGGTAGAGAATAGGACATGTTAGTGTGCCCACCTTCGGCCAACTGGGACTTTGTATAGTGTGTTTACACCTCAAAGATTCGATCACGAGTTTTCATGTGTCTTGATCTTACTGTGTTTTGGGGAAGGTTGAATTTAGCACACGAGAAACTTGAGTGGTCGTCTGTAGAGAAAAACCCATTTCAGAACAAAACGGACGCGAAAACGGGCTTGTAATGCGGAACGGACAAGTCAGCAGTGTTTAGTTACTGCTCACAGACGGCTGAACTCTTGGATATTTTAAGAGTAGTTGGACGAATTCATTTCCGAAAAAAACGCCACCAAACTCGGGCAGGTTTTTTGTTGCAAGAGCCAACTGTTTCAGTCCTTACCAGTGGGTTATATACAATGAAGTACGAGCCTGTGTGTAGAATCGCCCATCGATTTTCATACGGTTGTGATTAGATAGGTCAACCGTTACCAAATCTCAGTGGTACCTGTCACCCTCCTAACCTCTTAAAAGCATGAATCGCCTCGGCATTAGAAGAATTCCTTATTTACACAAGGTTCACTAGATCTATGCAGAACAACTACGCCCAATGGAGATCAGACTGGCCTTTGCAGAACGTATGCTACATTTACCCTATGCTGATTGGTTCATCACGACAGTATTAGGCTGCTAAAAATCTAAGATCAAGGTTTTTTGAGAAAACTTTAAGCACCTTGGTTTCTCAAGAAGTTACAGCTGCTTCTTCCCAACAAATGCCGGTCAGTATGAGTAAACACTTCTATATACTGATTTTTGATCAGATGGCTGTTGTTTTGTTCAGTGAACCTGGTATTTGGCTTGCATACGTCACGTCAACATCGGAGGGTCATCGTCAGTGCGTTATAATCAGCCATCAAGTGACGCCTCTGAGCTACGAATAGTCCGATGAACTTTTTCTACGTGCGGTCAGTTAGTAAGCTGACCCAACCAGAACTCTATCGGTGGCTCTTGCCAAACCAGCGCATCATGCGTTTTTGAGTTTCCAGGATGCCATGCTCTAATAAATACGATCAATCAATTTCGAGATTTCTGGAGTTCAAAGTAGGATCGTAGCGGGATTGAGATTAGGGTTCATGGTGAATCAATGATATTCTTGAACAGCGCTGGTTACCCAATCAGTACAGAAAAGGTTCTAATTCAAAGCAGATTTGCGGGGGCGAATTTCATTAAAATCTAGATCTGCCATCACGTGAGTAAGATACTTTTCAAGTTACCTCTGCCAAGCAGGCACGCGGGAGTATCGGGCGAAGCCGAGTGACACTGGTGCCAGCCCTCAATCTATTAGCTCAGTTATGACATCTACTTGGAGGCCGATGTAACCTACTCCAATGGAGCTACTTCGCTCTCCGTTGCTCTGGCAACCTCCCTTTTCATGAACACGCTCCTTTGCAACCCGCTTTGAGTTTAAAATACTCAAACGAACTATGGATAATATTTCTGTTGCTGTTGCATTGTGGGCCCACTCATTGGTTACGCCCGAAGAGGGCCTGACAGACCAGGTGATAAGAACACAGAAATCCAAGAACACGGCTGTCAAGCCAGGTCGAAATATACGGATATAGCGCGCAAATGGCTGAATGGCCTAATATGGTCACTTGCTTTGTTCGTTGTTGTCCAGCCAATGGCGACGTTCCTGCCGTGAGCAATTTCACAACCGCTCCGTTGGTCGCGTGCTGTTAAGCCATGCTTGATAAACTCCGCCCGTGAACCTGATGTCCGGTGGTGACCTATGGTGAACTTACCAACGCGTCGTTCTCTACACATGCACTTTCCGGGTCTGGACGCGTCCTCACAGTTACCCATCTTCGTTATACACTTTTACCACGAACCAGTAATTTCCAGTCCTAATTTTGAGGCTCGTAACATACATGATGTTTTCGTTAGAAACCACGCACCTGCCATTCAGTCGACTCTAATCCGGAGACTGCTACTCAAACCTCTTCAGCACTTTTGGAAACATCTAAGGATGTATTGAAATGCTTAATGAAATTGCAATAATCTGTGTTCACTTTGATGGTACATCGGTGAAACGCACATTCATCAAAATGCCGCTGCAGTAGTCCAATGGGGTTCACTGTTGGAAAGCAGTAAGACCTAGTAATTTAAGTTCCACCGTACGTGTTGTGCCAGTGGCCATTGTCTGAAAAGTGCAACCTATTTTTGCCTGTGTTGACCGTATTGTTCGACTCAGAGAACTACATATTGGTCTTAGCGAGTAAGGTATTTCACTACATCTGCCTGCCCAGGGGTTGGGGAGCCATCAAGCTACTAAAATTTTAATGAATTGAATTTTCCCTTTGTCTGTCAATCGTTCTTACCTGGCCTGAGTTATTCGGGTAGTACCTCAACTCACATATTTGTTCTGAGTTTTGTGGCAGTCTGAGACCTAACTGATGCCCACAGTGAAGGAACTGACCCTTTGACTAGTGTAAGGCACAACGTTCGTAAGCCTGTTTTTCTTGCTCCAGAGTAACTGACTAGTGACCAGAAAATACTATACACCGTTCACCTAATTACTGGATATACCGTTTCCACTGATATGAAAACTGAAAACGTGGGTGAACGTTTTATACACATTAAGTAAAGGAACATGACTCAGTTAATTCAAAAAGTGACAGTTATCATGAGTGGCCCACTTCTGCTAATGCCAGAGGATAAAAACAAACACTTCTATGTGTCATCAACTGATATCCTCATACTTAATGCAGTCCCACCCAGTCATGAAACAGCTGCCCCTGTAACGAACAAAGCTTCACGACGAGCTGCTTTTTAGGTCATTAACCATTGTGAATAAAAATAGTATATTGTACATACATGAGGCATTTTCCCAAAGCAAAAGTGACAGAGGTCCAACTGTTATGCGACCATATTTTTGCGATCAAGGAGTCGGGATTTCAAGCATATGTCTGCACGCAAAAATGTGTGATTTTGCGACAATCTCCGTGTGGTGACCATCCAATTTGTGTAGAAGAACTACAGACAACCACTACTGACAATGTTCTGGGTGACATCAAACCAGTCACCATTACGACCTTCTTAAAGCACATTACCGTACGTAATCAGGAGGCAAATGGCAAATGCGTCCGAAACATCAAAATTTGGACAGTTCAATTGACCTTCCAATCACTCACAAGATTATAGGATAGTAAACAGGCCAGGAAAACGGGCCTGAATGCACTGGTTTTTTCGAGAATGCCATCGATATCAAGGGCTGTACTTCTTCAAGAGGACGCTAACAAGCTTGCTCATGACATTCAAAATCGCATAAGCTCAGACAGGATAAATGGTAACGTAAGTGATCTTGCTTTATTTTATTTTTAATTTTCCGTCCTTCTGAAGTTATGTACAGTATATCGTGTCCAACGTTTACAAGGAGAATCAGCTTTTGACCACAAAACCTGAACGGTACCTGATTCTCCCTTCAATAAAAGTGGGTGAAATTGAGCGTGGCAGACTACTTGCGCAATACACCATATATATGTATACCATATACACATATACCATATATACATATATATATGTTCTGTACTGTATATAGTATATACAAAATGACAGCACCAGCAACAACCCAGTTACTGGTTTGCCAATGAACCATTTATCCCCATCTAAATGGTGTGGTACTGGCCATCCTTCAGATAAAACTGCCATGCCAACTTGTCTGGGGAAACTGAAGCATTGAGCTGAAATTTGGGATAACTGGTCTGTGAGACCAGCGTTTTAGCACTGGTACTCATTGTCATGCCATCTTACCTAGTTAAGTACCTACTTCTAACAGGTCTCTGCGTATTTATTCACTGATCTGATTTCCCCAGGCTTACATCATCATCGGCGGTACGTAGAAAACCGGCCTTATCTATTCGCTGTACACAAGCATCCAGTGAAGCAAAGATTGTTCAAAGGCAGCTGCATTTTGGATGTCAGCCAATCATGTATATTCGTCTCTCATAGATTCGTCAAATAACGACCGGACGATACCAGCTGAAACAACTTGCTAGTTTAAAACTTCCTTGAACTCACCAAATTTTGTTGATTTCAAATTCCTTCGTATCGCTTTTTCTCCAAAACTTGAATATTGATTCAAGTATGTCCCTTTCTTTAAACTTTAAGTTAGAAAGATCAATGAACGATAAATTTTCATCTCCAGAATCGAAACTTGTCACAATTCTGTCAAAAAGTTTGGGCGGGTCCAATTTATTACGACCAACAAAATCATACCTGATGAATTCACTGGCGACATGTCGCAAATAAGTCGCTACGTTTTCCCGCAACAGTGTGTTTCCGAATAATTCAAGAAACGTTTCAGTTTTATCTAAAACTACAAAAATATTTTGACTAGTTACCTTGCAAGTTCAGACGATGATTGCTTTCAAAGGCAGTGTACAGCTGCAGCATAATTCTGGCATACGATTCGAGACAGGTATCGGTTATAAAAAACTGAATTTATTGTTAAACGATTTCTCCGACAATTGAGTTACATTAGCTGACGCCACTGAGTCCGCGGCCACGTTTGCCATGGTTTGTAAGATATGTCTACTATCTCCTCCACCAACCAATAAGACATTCACCTGATCTGCAGGAAATGCATCATTTACTTAACTGGGAGTAAAACAACAACTTGGTAGCCTGGAATCAAAGCATTTAGTGTAGCTGGCGAGCAGATCCACCGCTGGCGTGAAACCCCACCAAGCAATATTTCCCAGCGCCTCTGCTTTCAAGTTGGACTGCATCGGAAGTCTTTACCGTCAAAATATTTCCCGTAGAAAATCTGTAAGGAATTTGAAAAATTCGGAAAAAACTATATCGGGTAAAAACTACTTGCTTTTCCCCCGAAAAAGTATATAGTTTTTACATTCATCCTGTTTGTATTGTGGGAAAGTGTCTTATTAAAATAGCAATCACGAGATAAGAAAACAGATTAACGACCCAGAGGGTTCTTGGATGACAGATCTCATCTTATCTTCAGCTGTGAAAACGGCGTACTTGTCGCACGGTGGTCATAACTGCAATAATTTTGTTCGCCGATGATTTGGGGATGTGGGTAGATAGTCACATTGGTTTCATTTTCCCGTGATTAGACTACTTAATTCTCACTTAATTCGGCCAAACAACACGACCGGTAATTTTCTTTGGTCCATTAGTTCATGAGAGAACACATTCACACATACAAAAAATGTCAACAATGTCACATTTCACTCATAATCTTAATGATAAAACCAACTCATCCGTATGACATAAGCAGCAGCCTGAAATACAAAAATGTCTATAAAGAAAACTAGCAGCATCAACAACGTTGGTCACAAAAATTCACCAAGCTACTACGTCTTTCGCTTCACTATTTTGGAAATCTCGAGCACGCAAGCCTCTAACAAATAACTCATCATGCTTGTGTATAGGGCCAAAGCTTGCTAATGGTCAGCCGTTTTAACCCTTTTACAAAGTGCAATGAGTTTGTTCAAGTGAGTGCTGTTAGCAAAAGGCGCGTTATGTGGAGTCAAAGCCAGAGGTTGCTTTCCCAAACACTTCAAAATGAATAAAACATGAGCTGAAGTTAGAATAAACAGTACTTTTGCTTCTTGACTGCACCATTTTCTTGAAAAATAAGAAACCTGATATATCCATTGCCAAACCATAAAGGGGCCTATTCAATGACCTCTGACTTTCGAAACCTTTTCGTGCAAACTCTTGGCCGGCAGCAATGAACCATAGAAAAACAGTTATTCAATTAGGTGGGGCGTTAGTCTTGTCACCAAAAATTTGCTAGTAGAGAACTAGTTGACTTTCAACCCAAACAGCTGCCATCACTTCAACTATATTTCGCGGTGCAAGGAATTTTCACACCCTACTGTAAAATTTCACAGCTAACCACTCAAAAGGGCTTTGGAGACCTTCATATCACAAGTTAAAGGACCTCTGGGTAATGTCAAAAAGCGACCTCAACTCCTGAGGCACTTGTGGCTTCTTTGTTAGAATCTATGAATGATTGAAAGACTTGTACCTGCCATTTTAGCAATACTGCATCCAAGGTCTTGCGGTGAGGCGGTTATTCAAGACTCATCATCATCAGAAGACTCATCTCATCAGCGACAGCATGACATCAGTGTTCAACACTGATGCTTCACTGCCGTACAACCATGATTTATTCGAAAGCCTTATTTGAAAGAAAAGAGTAAAGCTGGACGGGAAACGA